CAAATTGCCATTTTCTTTTATCTGAGAATTGATTGTTTGACTTGATGATGGGGAGGGGTGTGGGGGATACATCCCTTCACTCTACAGTATTAAACAACTAATCAATGTTTTCCAGGTAACACTTTAAGTGAGGAAAAAGAGAACTTAGACAATAACAACTTGTCAAAGCTAGAGGAAAACCTCCTGTCACACAAAATGGCTACAGCTGTTTAGCCAACACTATGAGCTCCCATGAGCTGCTCCACACAAGGCTAACACAAGAAGGTTTGCCGTAGTTTTGACTCATCTTCCCTCTCTTCCCACTCACATCCCACTAGCTTTTCTAAGTGTTTTTCATTTGGTTCTTCCATTCAACAGTTCCTTCAGATTTTTCTCGTGTCTCCTACATTCATTCCTTATCACCTTCAAATCCTCTCTTGCCCTTCTCTCCCTTTGTCTCCTGCCTTCTCCCAGTTCACTCCTCCCTGGTTTTTCCTCTCCAAGTCCATTCCCAGGCACTTGTAAATGTGACTGCTCAGCAGGCAAGCAGAAAGGGAAAACCCAGGCATCAAGGGAACCTTACTGCCTAGGCCTAACCTGAAATAGACTGACACGGGAGTAATTAGAATGCAATTTTATGTAATAAGATGATTTATTCATTAGTACAAGGCAGGGATAAAAGCTTACAGCTGATGAGAGAAGCAGGTTTGTTACAGCTGTCAGTTCCACCAGCAAAATGTATTAGTCATTTAATTTCTTTTTTTTTTTTTAAACACCGAAAGCATCCTATGATTATGTGTATGTGCCCTTCCTTATAGGAGGCTTTGCACACAGTTCTTTATTTTCATAATGAAACAGCAACAATTAAAGTGTCATGAGATGATTGGTCTGTCAGTGAGTTTGATTGACCCACGTATTACCAAAAATCATATTTAAAAAAAATATATATAATAGTAAGATATTGGACTCAAAATACCTATCTACTTCTCCACAGTAGGAAGGTTATAAGCATCAGGTACTTCAAGCACACTCTTAGCCAAGAGATCTATACAAAAATTCAGATGGTTTCTTTTCAAGGACAGCTGCATTACCAGGAGTCAGCTCTCATTTCTTTCCTGCTTTCAAAGCAATTTCAGCATAGAAGTCTGAGTACCAACATCTAAAGCACTTCTAAAGTTGGCCTTCCAAGCGATACTGATAAGTCCCACCAAAAGATCACCATGAGAACCTCAAGGCTTTGGTTCATTATCTCACACACTAGCCACAAAGCCTGAGACTCTGCAGAAAGTAAAAAGCACTCTGCTTTATTTCTCAGCAATCGTGACAGGAGAGCACACTTCCCCCTTTGCAGTAGCTCCTAGGTTGAATTCATGTTGGATGGGAGCACTCAAAGCCTGTCCCATTCCTATCTGCTGGAGAACAACGGCAACACTTAGACCTCAGCAAAACCATATCCGAACACAGACTCAGCACTTAGTGGGACTGAACTGGTAGGAAAAATGGGCAGAAAGGACCCTTGTCCAGTACCAAGTCTCCTGGGTCATTCCACCCTCCCCCTACTTCCCATCTGCCCTCTGAGGACTTCGTGCTCTTCAGAATATGAAACCGTGAACTAAGCACCAAAGAAGTGTGCTTATCACAGAAACGCTGGTCATGGTTCACTTTAAGCAAGATTCGCAACCTGTATGAGCCAGATCCTGCTCCTGCTATTCACCTCCCAGCAGTGGACAGCATGAACACCACCACTGCACTATTATGGGGATTTTTGGGTTTTTTTACATGTCAGACCTCAGTAATTATATTAGCATGTGTAGCTCTGTTAACAGTTCAGACAGTGAAATTAAACCCCTAACAGCCAACTTGAGATAAAAAGGAAGGCAACTGATCATTTGTGGAATCGACTAAGGCTGGTAGAAAGACATCATACACTGAACAGAGTGAGGCTTCAGACCAAAGGTGAAGTGTGACAACAGGAAGGCCCCCTGGGAAATGAGGAAAAACAAGGAAAACTACGTTCTGTCCATGGATTTCTCAGTGCAAGAACACCAAGCTAGTAACCCCATCTTGGGTGGGTTTTGGACTGCTTTGATGCCTGACCTTGCGACACTATTCAAGCAGGAGGTACACACAGTGGTGGAAGGAGTTTAAACTGCAGAAGCACTACATAGAAAGAAATACTGAGGACTAATCATACAACACACAAGACACTTTGTTCTGCACTTTATGAGAAAGCATCAATTACAGAAGGGAAGGCAGCAGTATAATGTGAGCATAGACTGACGCTTTGCACAGACCACAGCGAGCAATGTGACCAATAGCATAGACAGGCTACAGGGAAGAGATTTCTTGGAAAAATTCCCACTCATTTCAGTTTGGATCTACCTTTCATCATGGCTAACTCTACACTCATCACTTAGGACAGCACATCCAATGCATTCTTACAGTGCATTGTACTATTTAGAAATGGAAAAGTGTTCATTCATGCAGCTCACCACAGGCTTTGTCCTGAAAGAAGTCACACTCCCTAGAGATTCATCCAGACACATCCTAAAACCTCTTGCCAATGGATGGCTGAAATTTCCCTTGTGGCAGCAGTGTCAGGTGTCTTCCACTCTCCTGTGCAGACTCCACACCAGTCTCCCAGTTACAATGAAAACAGTGCCTCCTTCTCAGTAAACATATTATGAGATTTTAACTCTAAAATAATAGCAGGTCTGCCCTTAGTTTCAACAGTACAGCTACTTGCTTATGCTCTCTAACCAGCTTTAATCTCTCATTTTTCATTGGTTTTAGTTTACAATGACATAACTTTCTAAACAATTCCCAGATAACATTTTCTAGTTCCTACATTCTTCTGCAAAATCCTCTATTTCACACTAAGTCTCACAGTGCACTGACCAGGACAGAATATTACCATCCAGAAGTGACTACACAAGAACCATACACAAACATGCCCACATCCCTCAAATACTAAATGACAGTTTTGTACCCTAATCTCACTTTCAGATGCTCCTTCGCACGCATTCCTCACCTTCTCAAGAGGAAAGCACGAGGGATGGGTGCAGGCTCTTCACCTGAGAACACCAACTGATGGCTGTAGAAAAAACATACTACAGAAAATGTAAGTGGGAAGGATTTGCTCCGCTGACTCAGTGCACAGCAAAGGGAACACTCAATGGATCCAAGGGAAGAACCTCAGAAGTTCTAAAAAGCAGACACCTTTTTCCATCCAATCTCGGCTTTTACCAAAGAAAACTGAAGCCAGGTACAGAACTACACACAACTTCTAGTGATCTAAAAACCAGGAAATAAGTGCCTGAGGTTACCACAACTCCTGAATAAATTTCATTAGGATGCCATGGGATTCCCATTCCATAAGCAGTTATGACTTTGGGTTTTCTGCTCTTTCCTTTAAGACCAGGGCTCTAGATTCAAGATTTGTCACCCAAGACTTGAGTGTCTCAACTGGAAGCCAATGTGTTTCCATTGGTTTGGTACAGAAATAAGATATGCCTTCAAAGCAGTCTCTTTGGCAAAAGCATTCTGCTTCTCAAAATATTTCAGAAAAGATCATCTGCTCTATGAGGTGCAAAGCATCTGGCTTTTAAGCCAGCAGGTTCTGTGGCAATCAACTGACAAAAGAAGTCATCTCCAGGGTCAGCAGTGCTGGTGCCTTTCTGCACAGATTAGCTGTGCATGCCTGACAGTGTCATAACCAAGGACAATTAGTGAGTTTACAGCAGCCTTCAGGATGTTAGCCTGAAGATACACATGCATGAGTCATAAACAGGGTCTTTCAGGAAAACATCAGTACAAACATTTCTGCTCTCTATGTAAAAAGCACCGTTGTTTAAAGGTTTAAGGTGCTGATATGCACCTTGAGAAGTGATAAAATACTACACTGAGGGTGTACTGTAGGAAATAGGAAAGATACTCTGCAAACCTTTGTGCCAAAACATTCAAAAATCAAAGAAAAATCCAACAAAAGCAGGACCATGTCATGCTGGTTCCATAAACAAATTAATAAAGAGAATGAAGTGATATACACCTTTGAAGAGACTTGGTTTGTTAGAAATCTTTGTTCCAGGTTAGTGATATAGCCTGAAAAGTTTATCTCCACTACTCTCACAGGTGGTAGGAACCAGCGTGACAGCAAACACTGGTCTTGAAGCAAACAGGTGACACGCTGAAGTACACTGAGAATGGACAGCCTCCTCCAGCCAGCAGGCAAGGGTACTGAACGGTCACTGATTCAGCCGCAGAGGTACCTGTGCAGCAGCCAAGTGACTGCCTGGACTGAGGCAGCACCCAGCGGCTCCTCTCGGGCTCCGGGCTTTGTCATGCCACAGAAGTTCACACATGAAAACCTTCTGCTCCAATTTTTCTAAACCAGGTGAAAGAAACAGGCAACAAATAGTAAATGAAGGGAGAAGAAAGACTGAAAGCAACAGATACATGATTACAGGGTCTTACTGTATATAAGGCAATAGCAGCTCCAGATTGGACCTAAAACGCAAACAAGCAGCCCATCATCTGTAGCTGCTGCTCAGGCTGGCCATTAGCCTAATTTCTCATGGATGTCACAGAAAATTGTTACTGTAAATCTCTGCACTCAGATTCATTACAAACACCCAAACCTGCCACTGAAACGCCCACATCAGTGCCCATACATCATCCTTTGTCATTCAAGTAACAAGAGTTTCCCTTCAGTTTAACTACTTCAAGTATTTTCAGACTCCTGCTTGCCCCCATCATGGCCTGCAGTTGCCAAGACCACACCATGTGCACACACAAAGTATTTACAAGTGCACAGCAGTACATTCAAACACCTCATCCTAGGCATCTCGTCAGGGATCTTCCCTTTACCGGGGCAGGGGGAGAGGGACCTGCCTGTGCCAGCTGAAAAACCATCACCAGCAGGTCAAGGGAGGTGAACCTTCCCCTCTACTCAGCACCACTAAGTCCTCTGGAGCACTGGGTCCATTTCTGAGCTCCCCAGTGCAAAAGGGACATGGACATACTGGAGTGAGTGCAGCAAAGAGTCATGAAGATGGCTACGTGGACTTGAGCATTGGCCCCATGAGGAGAGGCCGAGAGCTCAGCCTGCACACCAGAAGGCTCAGGCATGATCTCATCAAAGCGTATAAATATCTGACAAGAGAGTGTAAAGAAGACTGAACCAGACTCAGTGGTGTCCAGTGAAAGGACAAGAAATAAAGGGCACAAACTGAAATACGGGAAATTCCATTTAAATGTAAGAAAAAGCTTTTTTTAACTGTCACTAAAGCAAGGTTAATAATGTACGTAGCCCATTTGTGAATACACACTCTGCAAAGGTGGTCAAAAACTGGAACAGATTACCCAGAGAGGTTTGCCGTCTCCATCCTTGGAGATAACTCAGCACCCAGTTGGACAAGGTCCTCAGCAACCTGCTGTAGTTGATCCTGCTTTGGAGGAGTAGGCAATCTCCAGAGGCCCCTTCCAACATCACCCACTCTCTGATTCTGTGATATGCAGGTTCTAAGCATCTGTTGTTAGCCTAATATTCAAACAAGCAAGCGGCACCTAAGTCAGGGAGAGTAAGCACGTAGACAGATAGGCAGGCTAAATCAATTTAGCACAAACTTTTTTTTTTTTTAAACTTCTTATATTCTTTTCATAGCAGGTATACATCATATATCTGTCTACCCACATACTTGTGACAGTTGTGAAGTCTGCTTTGGCATGCCCCAAGTTGTTCACATCATCTTGGGGAATATTAAATTAAAATGTCAGCTTTCATATTAGACACATTTGAGTGCCTTTCTGTATCTTTGTCAGCAGCAGAGTTAGGAGACGAAGATCTTGGACGCAAACAAGCTTTACCCTAGCATTTACTGACTCCTGGAGAAGAGTAACCGAGTCGAGTCACAGCACAAAAAAAAGAAGTGAATGCAAGTGCATACACACACACACGTTTTTTACTCATCATCACCAGGAGGTTGCACTTATTTCACACATTAACACTTTAAGAAAATATTAGGATGCAAACCTTTCTCCTGCCTTAAAATCAACAGCTACAAATAAATACAGTTTCCACCAGGCATTTTACACACTTGTTATAGAAAAATTTTTAAAGGCATCAGCATCTGAAGAAACTGAATGTCTGACAAACGATGCAGGTGAACCATGGATCGGGGTGGTAAGCTAAAGGCCTGATGCTGTAATAAGAATGTTCTGCACCCTTTAAATGACATGTTAAAGAAAGTAAGGTTTGAGTAGACACCTGAACATGAACAGAGAACCTTTCTGTGCCACTAGGTAGCATATGAAGTGATGCAGCTCTGTAAAGATGCACTCAAAGGAAAAATACCCAAAAGACATGCAGTGGGGGCAATGGATTCAATGCAGAGAAAGACTAAGCAAGACAAGGATGCACAATTTGCAGACTGAAAATCGCATGGAGATAAATCACTACATTAAGGAAACTGGAACAACAACTTTTCCACCCTGCTTCTGCGCGGGGCAGAAGATTCCTTGGCATGGAAGAAACTGCACGGCTGATGTGGACTGATCCGTTAAACTCATCTGAAGAGGACACTGAAACTTGTCCAAAATATGTCCATGCCAACACCACCTCCTTTTGCACCCACAGATGGCAAGGAACACACATCAAATCTACGTGGTGTTAATGGACTAAACCTAATCTGCAGAACACACTGACACTGATCTCTAGATGATCACTTTCTGTGCCAGTACAGGACAGTTTTAATGGGAAAAGACAAACCTTGAAATTAAAAAGATGTCAGCAATACAATGGAAACTCATTCCAAACAAACTCATTCCCAATGCATTTGGATATTTTGGCATGGTACTGCAGTATGAAACTCAGCATCTTGCTCTGGAATTCAGAAGAGTTTTCTCCTCGTTTCCACATTTAAACCAGCCAAGGAAAAAAAACCACTGAAAGTGTTTAAAAAAAAAGAAAAAAAAAAAAACAAAACAAACCCCACTGTCAAACCATCAGCAACTTTTTACATCATTTTAAGTGATTAAAGGTGAGATTACACAGCTAACAAATTCTTGCAGGGAAATCCTTCCACTTCTACCAGCAAGCTTCAGAGTAATTTATCACAGTTTGGGGGAGTTCTCTACAAGCAATGGTCTCAATTGCATTGAAGGAAAGAGTTTGGTTTCCAGTAATTATTTGCATTGCACTTTGCCACCTAGCATTAGCACTTCGCTACCTAGCATTAGCACTTCTTTACATTTAGTGATCCTCACACTTTAGATGTTTACTGCCATACAGCTTAGTCAGTACTGCAGTCCAATAAAAGGCAAGAAGTTAGATCTTGGCAACTGATGTTTGTCGGGGCTATTGCAAGAACACCAGCTCTCAAGAATTTCTCCAGACACTGAAGAAAAAGTCTAGTTCAGATCCAGGTCCGCTGTACCTATGTGAAACCAAAATCGAGCCTACCATAGAGACATGCTAGAGCTCTCCTTGGAAGTGGAGTGGCCACTGTTGTTGTTCCATAATAAAAATCTTAGTAGTATGTTCTTGCAAGGACTGCTCTCCTGCTTCCTTTAACTTTGTCACTGGTCCATTAAGTTCCACTTTCTCAAAGAGCAAACTCTCAGGAATCATGAAACAGCAGATTCATGTTTCCTTTTTCCCTTCAATTTTAGATGCATTTCTTCAAATGCTTGGCTTATTGCAAAAGATCTTTTTTCACACTGTGTAATAATGCAGACCTCCTCCCCATGCCTGATGAAGGCTATCCTATGTCAACACATACCCTGTGGTAACAGTTAGGTCAATAGTAACTTTAGAGGAGACTTTCAGCCCTAAACATGATGGCTCTGCCTCTCACTCCAAACATATACTTCTCCTGTTTTCCATTAATGGCATATAAATTTCCATCACTGTTTCAGTTAAACTTTTTCAAAAAGACTACAAGAAACTTTACAAGAATACCATTTCAGCTTTAGTTCCCACCAAGAAACACTGGACAACTAACAAAAAGCCACCACATTCCCATGACGCATTGCCCAGATATCACCCAGACATGTCTATGCTAGATCTACATCTTTCCTATACATTCAGGAGAAAATTATTTTAATATTTTCCAGGAAATGATAGAGCCTTTCTAGTCCATATGTAATTTGGGAATTACTACAGGAGCCAGATGTTAAGCTGTAGCCTAAAAGAAAACGCACATGCTTTCATCCATGCTGTTCCACTCTGGGTCAGCAACACAACATGCATACCATTCCTGTGCAGAAATCGAAACACGCCCAACACCTTTCTCCTCAACCAAACTTACAAAACAACGCTTTGATTTAAAAAGCAGAAGAACAGAAGCTAGCTAGGCATTAGACCTCCTTATCACACATGAGTTGCAAAGCTTTTGAGTTCACAGCAGAGGAAACAGTGACACTGGTCCAAGTTCACCAAACCACTCAAGACAGCTGTTTCAATCCACCTCCACTCAATAAAGCATTCAGACACAGATTTAAGCACCTTCTTGATGTACAGTCTTTCTGATGAGGTGGGAAAACATTGCACATTCAGAAAGAAAGAGCTGGAAGACATGGGAGGGATTAGTCTATACCTCGAGCTCACTGCCTGCGGTGGGTTTAGAGCTGTGGCACATGCTCTTAACTAAACCCAGCACAATTTCTAGGGTCACATCAGATGACTGAAAACTCTTCCAAGATAAACACTACTCTGATTGCAGCAAACAGAAGAATGCTTATTGCCAAGACTGTCTCAGCAAGCAAACTGTGAGAGAAGAGACACTTTGGTTTCTATTTACTCCATTTCATTGGTGCAAAGAGTGAGGTGGGTTTCTTTACCTTCTCCTCGTTCAGGATTCCCCCTTGACCTTTGATTTTCAGGCTTCCTGAGAAAGAGGCTAATAGCAAAGATTCAGTATGAGCTAATGGTCTAAAACATTCTACAAATTGAACCTCTTCTGGAACACTTGGCACATCGTTCCCTTTAAAAAACAAGTCTGCTTGCATCATATTCTATGTATTATTATTATTTTAATACTACTCCTACCAGGGACAGCTGAACAAAAGCAGGAGGTGTATTTCTCAGAAGTTCACCTCCTTCTGCTGCTTATTCCCGTGCCTGAAGGCAATTGTGACTAGATCATTGTAACTACCTCTGCGGCAGATATGCCAAACAAGCACAGCACATGGGAAATCAAGAGCAGATGACAACCTGTATAGAAAGAGATCTTGTTGTCATCATCAGGTATCATTTAAAAAAAAAAAAAACCCAATCAAACAGAAGAGGTATAAAAACAGAGGATAGGATTTTGGTAGCCCCTCTCAAGAGACAAAGTCAGACCCACTTTGAAGCAGGTTTTTGGGAGGCGGGGTGGTCCCATATGAATACTGATGTAAATGCAGCTTCCTGCCCAGCCCGATGACAATTTACCAGTGGGCAGTGTTTCATCTGGCAATTCTTCCCCCATGGCACATTAGACATATAGGCAGTATACTCTAAATAGAATGTTTCCCAACAGGATGAGACATCCGTGGGTGTTTTCAGCCTTGTATCCAAACAAAGCTTGATATCTTACTAATCATATACCCATAACATTCTGGCCACAAAAGACAGTTACTGCTTGCAGCAATGCATTTGACAACTAGCTAAGGACAACAGGCCTCTACATAAAATAAATTAAATGCTTTAAAACTGATTTAGAGATGTACTGAACAAGACTTTCCAATTGATAAAGCCTTTGCTGAAGTCATCCTTGCAGGCAGAACCTATTACTTCGAGTGCTGCAGGTCTCTGCAAATGTCAAGCTGTCTTTGGTACAGAGCAATTCATGTGTGCAGCTTCCAAAAAAGAGAAAAGGCCAGTCATGGTGTAAATTTCCTAGGGCTGGAACTGCACCTGCATCTCAGTTGCATGCAGTTAACCTAGGTCTCCTTTTCCCTACCATCTGCAAAAGAGAGATTCTGACCCAGGTTTCTACCTTTTAATTTACCCAATTCAAGGTACTCCAAGTTCACACATTTTTTTCTTGATGAAACCAACCTGCCTAATAGTGGTGGCTTAAGGCAAAGTGACATGTTTTAAACAAAGCAAAAATACAAAAGACAGAGCCAAGTAGAACATTAAAAAAAAGTTATCCAGCCCATCTTCCACCCCACAGTAGTCATACATACCTATGTCATTCCTGCCAGCCAGTTGCCTTATCTCACTACAGTACTGGAGGCTTCAAGCTTCCCTAAGCCATACACTCCAGTGTTTAACTATGCTGAATTAGAATGTTTCTTTACCTAATGTCTAACCTTAACTTCCTTTGCTGTAAAAATCAACCGATTAATCTCCAAAGGGCAGAAGCAGTAGTAACTCCATTTTGTTCATCTGTGTTCTAGGCTTTTACCTCTTTGAAGACTTAAAACCCACCCTTTCTTTACCAAAGTCTTTTTTTCTAGCTCATAGATCCTGGTTTGTAGACCTCTGACTTTATCATACTCTTCCTTGAACTGTCTCTGATGAGTTTTTACTCTTCCTTGATGTCCAAGTCTGGAAAGAGTACCTCAGCCAAGAAAAAGGGTATCACAGAATCCTCATTGCTTTACTGAAAGGACAGATAGTAGCTTTGAGATTACTGGAGATGTTTTAAGCCTCCAAAAATCCTGCCTTCTCCAACTGATTTACTCTGAAGTTGCTTGGCATTTAACTTGATAAAGCTAGCTTAACCTGCTTTTGAGGCTGCTAGGATGATGAGTGCATGGTCAAAAGACATGATTTTGCGTATTCTTTAGGAGTGACCCAATCCTGCACAGCAACTTACGCAAATCAAAGTGAGTCACCATACTAAGATTTCATTTATCAAAACAATGGAAAAAGCAGAGATATTAAACTGTGGTTGACAATTAATGGATCATTTCAGAATTAACATAGCTCTTCTAATGGCACAGTTGAACCACTTATTCACAGAGCACCTCAGAAAAGAGACATGAGTGAATGAAATGAAAGCTGGGAAGGAGCAATCCTAGAGGAATCTAAATACAAACACCAGAACACATACAGGTATGCATACAGGTACAGGATAGTTTCATCTTTCCTAAACGCTGGGCTGACATGTGGCAGAATGGGAGCCTGCAAGCATTTTATAAAAACAAGGTTTCTTTCAGTGAGAAGTGCCACCTCTCAGTGGCACACTATGATTGTATTGTTACTTTGTCAAGCCTGTGCCTAGAGCCAATACCCTAGCACTTTAAGCTTCTGTGACAGTTACCTTAGCATAAGCTTGGAAACGTAACAAAAACCAAGCAATAAACATTAGTAGAGCAAATTCATTCTCCTGAATAATGCAAGTTCTGATTTAGTAATGTATCTATACCTACCCGTCTATCTAAAGACTGATCATTTCTGGGGAGCTTTTCAAACTTCAAAATGAAGTTAGTAGGTGGCAGGAACTGTTGCTGGCACGGCACCTAAAAAGAGGGGACATTCCAAAACAAATCATGCCACTTGAGGATTTTAAACCAAAGGCGAACCCACAGAGAGTAATGAAAAGATTACGCTTTCTCTAATTAAATTAGAAACATCAACCATTCAAGAGCTTGACAGTACTTCTGTAGCAGCACTGACTTAACATTAAGCAAATGCTGATTGCTTCCTGCTCAAGTCAGCCCAGGATCACTAAGTGTCTGTGCACTGATCTATGGTGGTAGGTCACCTTCAGCAAATGAACAAATGCATTTCAAAACAATTTGAACAAAGTATAAATTTTAGGTTGAGGTAGCGGTCATTTGATAATCTGAATGGCTTAATCAGCAAGTGCTCCACTGAAGCACAGGAAATTGTTTCGCAGATTTAAGAGGTCAGAGGGACAGATTTCCTACGCGTACATAGGAACAATCAAACCTGCATTCTCTCCTGGGACTAGGGTGAGACAAGACAATTCTGCCACCTTACTGTTGAGCTATTTATCTGATGACACACTAAAAAAAGAAACGAATAGACTTATGAATCATAAAATGATACTAACTGCCGTGGATGATGAAATTCATGACTCAGGCTACTAAGATTACCATGTTCCAAATTATACTACTTGCATTTCTTTTATGTATTCCTTTGCAGCTAGTATAATTTGTAGTTACCATCAATTAAATGACAGTCATAAATGGAGCTTCTAAAAGATAAAAATGAATCGTGATGCTGAGCCAAAAAGCAAATAAAAATGCCAAAAGATTAACTTAATAGTATGCCTCAGGGCATTTATAAAGATATTAACACAACATGCCGGTCTGTCAGTACCCTCTGACTAGAAAATGCTTTACTTTTTCAATAAAGCAAGTTCAGCATTTTGGCCCTTCTAACAGCACTAACAGGTTGTTTCCTGCCACCGTGTTCTTGCAAAGGAGAAAAGCGGTAACTTCTGGTAGAGTTAGGACCATCAGGAAATAATACTACCACCTATGCTTTGAAATAGTGTATGGGTAGTACATATAGACACTACCAAGTACTCTTCAGATGTAGTGCTTGGAACAAGCTTCAGTGCACATTTCTTAAGCTTTTTGTCAAAACCTGCCTTCTTTTAGAGACTTTCACTGAAACAGAAGTACCCAGGAAAGAAAAAGTGGTTTTCAAAAACCAAGTCATCGGTATCCAGTACCTGCTTTAGTTCCCCACGCCATTTCTGTCTCCAGCAGTGGGAGCAGATGACTATAAATAGGAGTGAGGGTTTTGATCCTATCTTTAAAGATTAGCTGCTTCCCTTGTAAAACAGTGGGACAACATGCAGCATACATCCAGATGAGGCTGGAAGCCTATTATTAAGTTGGAGGAAAAAAGGCTGCTCTGTGACAAATCACTACAGCATACCCCAATGATCAGTCTCAGGTTATGCGCATTAGCAGTCACATTACTTGCAAATGGCACCATGAACAAAGTAACAGCATCTGCAAGAGAACACCAGCACCAAACCATTCTCGCCCTCTATAATAGTGATGTTTGTAGAGACAATGTAAGGAATTAAGTACGGAAATACAAAGGCTGTTGAGTCGTAGTGCCTATGAGGCCCTGATAGCAAAAGATGTCCGAAGAATTTAACAGCTTTGCAGATACATCACTGTAATACAAAAAAGCCAAGCTCTGGTTAACAAAATAATTCAAAAGAGTATTAGGAAAACACCATTAATGTAAACATACTGTCATCCGACAACAACAACTTTGAGAAGTTTCTTTCATGCGGTGTGTTGGAAACTGCAGCCCTAGCTGCACCTGCAAGTCACACACATATTTTCTCCTGCTCCTTGAGCATCCTACATGACCAGGTACAAATGGCAGAGCCTGCCCAAACAAGCCTCAATTCTTCAATGCTCTCCAGTATTAAAAGAGGGAAGAGGAGCCTCTGGGAAGGTAATGACTGTGCATGTCCTTTCCAGAGGAGAGGTTCACAGACCATTCTAGTAAAACAATCTGCACTATGTTCTGTGTGAAACCACTGGAAAAAAAGACAGCATACAAGAACCCTCAGAGGCTTGCCTCTCCCTCAGTCCCTTCACAGAAGTTACTACTATCAAGAAGTATTTTGCATAGATAACAGCTGGGAGAGTTGAGCAGCCCTGTGCAGAAGGTCTTGGGGGTACTGGTGGATGAAAAACTGGACATGAACCAACAATGTGCGCTCGCAGCCCAGAAAGCCAACCGAATCCTGGGCTGCATCAAAAGCAGTGTGGCCAGCAGGTCGAGGGAGGTGATTCTGCCCCTCTGCTCTGCTCTGGTGAGACCTCACCTGGAGCACTGCGTCCAGCTCTGGGGCCCTCAGCACAAGAAGGACATGGACCTGTTGGAGCGGGTCCAGAGGAGGGCCACAAAAATGATCCGAGGGCTAGAGCACCTCTCCTATGAGGAAAAGCTGAGAGACTTGGGGTTGTTCAGCCCGGAGAAGGCTGCGGGGAAACCTTACTGCAGCCTTTCAGTGCTTAAAGGGGGCTTATAAGAAATATAGGGACAGACTTTTTATAGGGCCTGTAGTGATAGAAGGGATAATGGTTTTAAACTAAAGGAGAGTAGATTCAGACTAGATATAAGGAAGAAATTTTTTATGATGAGGGTGGTGAAACACTGGAACAGGTTGCCCGGAGAGGTTGTAGATGCCCCATCCCTAGAAACATTCAAGGTGAGGTTGGACAGGGCTCTGAGCAACCTGATCTAAAGCTGTCCCTGCTCACTGCAGGAAGTGGGGCTAGATGACCTCTAAAGGTCCCTTCAACCCAAACCTTTCTATGATTCTATGATCATTTGAAACATATCCAGATGCTACAAAATTCAGCATAGAAGAATTGATCATTTCACCAAAAAATTTACACAAAGGTGCAGAGAAAACAGGTAGCCACAGTAGCCAATCCTTGGGCCAATGGAGAAGTTAAAAACAGACAAACAGAGTGTTCCAACTAGGTTTAAAAAAAAAAAAAAAGAAAGAAAGAAAACAACTTTACAAAGGAAAGGTGACAGCTGGAAGAAATGAACAACAGCTCCACCTCTTGCTGACAAGGACAGAGGATAAAAATTACAGGCAGACTGACAAACTTAAAACGCCACACCTGCAACATGAACATTGGCAACAACCAGCCTTCGAAAAAGAGGCTGGCATTGCTTTTGTGGAATCATCATTTTGAGTTATCTTAAACTAGGAGAAGGAAGAAAAGTTGCTATGGAACAGAGATGCATTTCCCAACAGCAGACTTCAACTTTAAACAAAGTCCTACGAGGAAAAAAAAAAAGTTTTTCAAATAAAAACACTTCCAATTCCAGCAGCCTCCACCTGCATCTCCTGATATTGAGGTCAGCAGGCTCTTACTTTGGAGTATTGATCCAGCTTTCATCACAGTAGCTGGACCAAAGCATCTTCAATCTATTTGCTCCAAGGGAATTCTTCTGGTTTCTCTCCTGAGGGAGACTGAATCGATTCTGTAAACTGAAAGTGAAGTACTTGTACACGAAGAATCCTCTGAGTTGTGCTGGCTATACACACTTACACTGTACGTGACTTTTACGCTGCACAAGGCTTCTTGGCATGTTTGTTCAGTGTTTCAGCTGACAGGACTTGCACAGCTTGCAATCTACCACAGTTCATGCAAACACAGCATAAAAATTTGAAGTGTGCTAATTATCACTTAAAAGCCTTGTATCAAACCTCAAGACACCTGAAAGACCATCTACTGGGTACGTAACTTATATTCTCCTCCAACAACTGCCCCTGTGTCTACCCTACTCCTGCCTTGGCAGGGCAAGGTGGGGGAGCAGCCAATAACTTAACGCACCACAAGGCACGTAAGGCAACACTACTAAGAACTCGTTTTTCACAGATTTTTCAGGTTCTGGTGACACCACAACAGACTGTCCTTGAAAGCAACAGAGAAACCTTATTACCAGAGTGAGAACAGGGAACAGAAGAAAAGTTCAAGAAGTTCATTAGAAAGAGAAGCTGCAGCAATGTGTGGAAGACTCGGTAAGTGATGGAGAGGACATTATAAATGTTCCCTCAGCCTTTGGAACTAACTACATGCAACCACGTACTGATTGCAAGGCCATAACATGCATTTTCACAGCACAGGCATCCTAGGCCACATCTGGGAGAACAGACAATCCAAGACACACCTGGTAAGGGCAAAACCTGCTGTTGAGTCATCTAGAGGACTAGTATCTTCCATCTCAAAGCCCCAAGGCTCACATGCACCTTCTTCTTCCGCTTCAAACAAGGACTCTTTCTCCAGAGCTGTCAAGTCTGCCAGTATCCGGTATACTGACGCCAGGTGGTACAGCTCTTGGCTTTACTGAAACACTAGGCTATCAAGTTGAAAAAGGAGATCATAACAAAGCCAGAGGGTTGCTAAATTGACTGATTAAACTCGTAATACCATACTCTGGATACCAAAAACTTCTGGTCCACACTAGGACTGCTGAGATGAGACAGAACAGATCCAGTCTGCTTAACCATGCTACCAATTGTAAAGATGGCAGGAAAGTTGAATAGCTGAAGGTTCACGAGTGAGAAAACACACGTCAGGGAGTTTTGGCAAGCTTTCCCAGCTCTGCTGTACAGCAAGTGGAAGGGGGACCAACCCGTAAGCCTCAGGCAACTAAGTAGCTACTGACAGCACAGGGGGTAACAAATACAAACCAACATCACTTCTTCATACAGCAGGACAAATCTTGTTTCTCCCCACTTATTGGTAACATACCTTGCAGCTGTAACACACAGATGCCAGACAAAAGGGATAATAAAATACATTAAAAAAAGAAACCCAAAGCATTGCAATTCAAATGTTTCTAGCTTACGAAGATGCTTCTATGTGGTGTGATCTTGATGTACTGCAGTCCCTGAATCTAACGCTGCCAAAACCCAATTCCAAAACCTGAGCCCATGTGCCCCCACCACAGTGCAGGCTGGCACTAACAGAACAAAATTTCATGTCATAACAGATTTGTCCACAACCCTAAAGGGCAGGACAATTTGACAACTGCTTTCAGTCAATCTAGCCATGGTGTGTCTGCTGTGAAAAACGCATGCTTCAAGACAAGTGCTGCAGGAGCTGCAAGTGTGGCATGGGGCATAATCTTCGCGCCTGTCAGCACACACCCAGAAATCTGAGGAAAGTTTTCACCAACATTTTAAATTAAATTAATGAAGATCTGGTTCTCAAACATCCACCATGGTCTAGAAAGCCATCAACTTGCAAGCTACTAGACTCCTGATTTGAAATCAGGATGAATTCATACCAATTTCCTTCTAATTTGGGGAAATGAAATGACTGTGGAAGAAATAATTTTTGCCCATTTAGGGGAAGTCCTTTAGGCAGTTGCCTATGAAGGAATATGATTTAACCTGCATGCTATACAAACTTGCAGCCAACATCAGGAAAAAAAAATGTTAAAATACTAGTGAGTGCTTACAAGAAAGACTCTGTACTAGCAGAAACTATTTTGAAGTAAAAAAATCCCCACCTTCCTCTAAACTACACAGGCAGAAGTGCTAAATACTAATAGAGTGAGCAAACTACATGGAAAGAGATAGTAATGTTACTATGGATGTTATGGTGGGCATGACGATTAAGAGGTAGTGAACAGAACAGCAGGAGTCTCCAGAAGTGACCAGAGGCGCAGCAATCTGCAAGGAGTAGTTCGCACAGCTTCTTATCATGGAGATAAGCAATGTTGATGTTCTCCCAATCTGCTGAAAGAAGTCCTCTTCCCAAAGAAAACCAGCCCTATCCCAGGTCTGCAGGCTAGGTTAGGTAGAGCCAGAAGAAGTGGTTGTTTGCAGGTGCCTGAAGAAAGCATTTCCTCTTAGGTGACGCTGTTACCAGATCTACAGCCTAGAAGGCCATTGTAGTAGCTTGACTGGAGTATGATGTCCTGAGCAAAAGCTGAGACTGATACCGACACGACTGGTGGACACCAAGGTGAGGAGTGCAGAGAAAACACAAATCTGAGCAAGTAACAGAGGTAACAGTCCTCATGAAAGGAAGCTGTGGGCACCAAGACTTGGAACTGTAGGCTTACTGTTAGAGGCCATAAGAAGGTATGAATGCCTTGGGCCCATGACAGCAAATGAACTCCTTACTTCCCAGTGAAGCAATACTCAGCCCCTGAAGATCCCCCACCAATCTGGTCTGTGCAAGGACACTGCTCAAAGCTGCAGAATGCTGGTACCAAGGAAGAGAGAAGTAAGTTTCATTTGAGCTTCTTAGAAGCAGTGAGTAATGAGACAGACTATTCCTATAGGATCATTTCAACCTCCCTTCCCTATCCTCCAAGCATGCATGCTCTAGCCAGAAGAGATGCAGTTGAAAAAGTGTGTCTCAAACTAAACAGCAAGCAGTCCATTATCATGGATTAGTATTCAGCTTTGGTAGGATAGCTGTGCAACATGACCCTGAACCAACCTATTTTCTTAAGGCCTCTGGCAAGTAAGAAATGAAAAGAAAGCCAGAGCTATAAAATTACCATAGAAAAGGTCGAAGTAGAAACAAACAGAACTGGTGACACTAAGACTGTAATCAACATTTAATTCAAATGGAAAGGCTGTCTCATACCCTGCCACTCATATGTACCAAAGGGTTTCAAGTTTTATTGCAGTTTAAAAAAAAAAAAAAAAAAAAAAACACAAAACAAAATCTGTATCGTGCTAGGCTCCACATGTAGAAATCATATTACAGCTGATGAAGAGATTTTGAAGAGACTGCAGTTTTTTTAATCAAGCATACACAGAGACTTCTGGTTTCAGGAAACCAAGAAGGTTAGCAATTTGGAGATTTAAGAAGTACACTTTAGGTTGCATGGACTCTGGAGCCTGAAAACTGAGCAAAAATTTATTCTAAATATACATGACATAGCATGACACAAACCATCGGTTTAATCTTCTAACCTCTATTCAGTGTATAACATTGGTTAAAATTAAAATTAGCCTTTTATTAACAGTGAAAGAATGCAATCAGTATTTGGAAAGCATCCCACAAAATTGCTAAACTGTTTATTTTCATTGACCAAAAAAAAAGGTATTATTCTTCTGTGATTTCTGTAATGAAAGTATTTATCACACTAACCAAAAATTCTACATAAAAATATTTTTAACAAAGGTTTTGCTATCATTGGTTATATACATGTTACAGAAATTAAAAAAATCATTATCATTTAATGAAAAAAGGATGAAGCATCTTACATGCTATTCCATATAAGAAACTAATTGGTTTAAGGATGGAAAACCAAGTCTAATATCAGAGGTCAATCTGTCAAAGTGGTATCTTCTATCCACTGTGGACTGCGTTACTGTACCTGAGGGCTCCCCAATTCCCCTAGTGCTGCTTCTTGCCCATTACATACTGCATTTTTACATTAGTCATCCAACAACATGCAGCTTCAGTAATTCCTCTTCAAAATACTAGCCTGCCAACAGTGCTGCCCAAGAGCAACACCCAGAGGCTAAATATATTGCTACAGCAGCTCTGCACATTTTGATCCGTTTCTTTCTGAGAAGGAAAACCTTCATAAAGATAAGCAACAATTTCCTGTAAAAATAAAGAGCTGACAAAACTTTCAATGGTAATGTTAACAGCAAAGTGTTGCAGGCAAACAAACCGACTCATTAAAGTCACATCTTTATAGCTATTGTGAACAATGCTTAAGAACAGATGATATATACACATGCTTATGTAGAGCAAATCAGCAGTAGCTTTTGCAAATGCATATATAGTATTTCAGTTCGCAGCAGCACTGCAAAGGAGCAACTAGAAGGATGCTTGCTCTCTAGAAAGCCAATTGCGTTTTTCAAATGCAGAAAGACAGAAAAGACGCAGGCTGCTCTCCATTTTGTTTACCAGTTGTCAAAGTAGTACTTTGGGTTTTTTTCCCTTAAATCTTGAAGACAGTTGCTGTAGGAACAACTTGGCTATGCAATAACAAATAACCTCCAGCAAAAAGGTAGTATTCTAGAGCATCTTTAAGAGGAACACGTTATCTGGAATCACAGAAAGAAGAGGGATAGAAAACTGGATACAAAAGCAAGTCACTGAAGCTTCACCTTAAAGATCTCTGGCATCTAACAAGATTATTCTCTGTAAATCTAAAGTGTACATAATGGACAAAGAAAAAGGCTGACAAACTAAGAACATAATCAGTAACATCACACTTATATCCCCAAACACTAATTTAGAAGAAGATGTATTTAAAAGACAACACAGTGACGATTATGTAATCGCAAAACATGACTGCACCTACGAAACCTTTTGTATTTTGAGATTTCAGATCAGGACAATGATTTCAAAACCAAACAAAAACAGAAGTCTCAATCAAACACCCCTTGGAAAAGTTCCTCATCTATTGAGCAGGGTTTGCTCCACCCTCCTCAGTTAATTGCCTTCTTTTTTCATCTGTCTTCTCAGAATCATGTTCTTCATGTGGCTCAAGCTCTTCACCTGGTTGTGGTGAAACTGGAATCGTATCAACTACAAGGAAGCAATCATCCTTCAGCACCTGCTCAGCTGTCAGTCTGTTACAGCAGAACAAATTCTGGAGAAGAGATTTAACTTTATCATCCTACAAACAGAGGGAGAAGGATTTCATCAGTAAGTGAAACAAACTCGATTACAAACAACAACCAAGTATTTGATGAACACATCTTTTAAGTGCTTAGGGTCCAAAGCCCTCACAAAAGGTTGTACCATACCATTCCCAATGGTCAGCAACACTCGACAGTCATAGTGCTTATTTAGAACAAAATAAAAGCAGTGTTCAGCGTCAGGTCTGTCAACCTGGTGCCAGCAGATTTCCCAGAAGAGCGTGAGTTATTATATTTTAAAGTACCAATTCACTGAACTACTATAAATTAGAGAAATACTGAAGTTGGTCTTTCTACTGAGAAGGAACAGAACAGGTGCCATTCATCTTCTACAACTTCATCTTTTAACCTCTCTCATATTGCTTTATCTCTCTACAAGAACACAGGAAAAAAAAAAGAAAACCAAAGTAACGGGCTCTAAATCAACAGCAGCTGTTTTGCTATTAACCCATCACTTACACTTAGGCTATTTGGATTTATCAGAAGGGATTACGTGCCTAAATTCTTAGCACATTAACAGTGCTAGGCTCCATACACAAAACATAAAAACACAGCTGCTACACATACGCATAAATATCAGCTATTGAGGGAGGAAGAGCACACACTGGATTTGGACAAGGGGACTGCAAGAAAGACAATCTCAAATGCTAATCTAGAGATCTAGATTACCAAAACTTAGTGGGAACAGAATCTTTCCGTAAGAAGCCTTGCTTGTTCACCATCTCCAAGCCAGCAACACCTCTGACCAGGGTCAATAAAACAGCAAAGCGCAAGATACCTGTACACCTCTCACCTATCCCCATTTCACCCAGACAGAAGAATCACTGTGATGCAAAAGGAATGTACACAAGTAGTCAAAAACTTGAAGACAGAAACAAGCACACCATTTCCAACTCTTCCACTAATTATCAGAGTGACTCTGGAGAATTAGCCACTCCCTGAATAATGTGAAATCTGTGTGAAAAGATGAGATCTGAAAACTGTTGATCTTACTGGCATAAAGGATTGTTAGAAGTTTATAAAACATTTAAAATGCTCAAAGGAAAATTTCGAGTTAAGAAGATCCAAACACGTGCAATGAAATACAGGAGTGAAACATGACTACACACTTCCTTTACAAAATTCAAAGTGAAGAAAGTCTAAGCACTTAAAGAGCTTGAAAAGCTCTGTATTTGTATATTTGCATTTCATAATACTATCAAATGTCTGTAAACAACAAATACCCCTTCTCACCATCTTCTCCCACTAAAGAAACTGAAAATTCATTCCACAAGGAATACCGCTGTAGGACATTTCACCATGTTTACTCCATTTCATTGTGTTTGCTCTTATTTACTTTAAAAAAAAAAAACAAACACAAAACTGGATGCTGAAACACACTGAACACTGAAGCTTGGCATGGCTAAATAAGTGGCTACAAGATCTTAACTCTAATCTTTGCTTTTTCTCAACAGCTAGCTAACATTAATATACCTGTTTTAGAGCTTAACATTATTTTCCTGTAGCAATTTTACATTTGCGGAAAACAACAAAAATTACTAGTTGCAAATGTGCAGTTCCTCTGGGCATGAGACCAAGATGGAAGGGAAATTACCAGCCTGTCAAGAGCCTGCAGATGGGCATGGAGATTAATTCTGAATAAGCTGATTATAGATAAAGCACTTAAAAGCAAAATAGATTTTCCCCAAGAACTGGGACAAGGATTAACAGCCAGAGATCTAAAAGATTCCCCAAGAAACAGCTGAAAGATATTTATTACTATTACATTTCTTAGCAAAACCCTCACGTGTGCTCCTGTGCACTGCAGGCAGCACAGATTGCTCTCCAACGGACTTTGGTGGTTGGTGCACGTGCATGCGCATGCATCCAGGATGAATCCTTAAAAACTGCCAACAATGATGTATTGATTAGGATTGTATCACCTGACAAGGTCAAAATCAAATGCTGCTTCTTTTCATCAGGGAAAAAAGTTGAAGAAATGTGCTCTTATTAAAAGCTGTAAAATGAATTAATCCCTGCTAAGAACAATAATGGCTAAATTCATTAATTGTCCTTGAGATACAGGCAACTGTTTGCACTTCTGTGTTGTTCTGTAGCAGATACCTTCTGAAGTACAACACCCTGAAACTGGTCATTTAAACTTTCATTTGCATACTTCAGACCTTTTTTGTAAAACTTTATCACAGCAAAAATTTTAGGGAAAACAGAAGTGAACCAACTCCTATTTTTAATGTCCCAAGAAATCTTTTCCACTTCTTTGTACAATTAAGTTTCCCTTATGCATGAGAGCAAGTTAGGTTTTTCAGTATCTAAGGATTATTATGCATAAACCTGAAAGATGCACTGAGCAGACAGTTCTGTACAAGTTTTGGGGAATACATTTAAAACCCCCTAGTTAGCCCTAATGGTGAATCATGAAGTACTGAATCTTCTTTCCAATAGTACTGTGCATTTCATGAGATTCATTTAATTTTTAATAAGAAACCAAGCAACTATAATGAGAGATAAGAAACACTATTTACAGGATCACCTCCCTGCTCAAATGCTGCATGTTTTATTCTTTTATTTTCCATGGTAGTGTCACACTGGAAATAGTTTTGCAGAGGGATATGGTAAACGGTCCTGTGCTTTATCAGTAATGCTTTCATCACTGGAGAACACTGTTGAAATGAAGTTATTAAAAGACATACTGTAGAGGAGAAGATTCATCTAATAAAACAAGATAATTTACAGTACTGTGTTATGCAGTGATATAAGCTACCGTGCCTGGACACTGGAACCACTACAGCTGTATTAGTCTGGTACTGTATTATGACAGTTTCTTAACCTAAACACAGTAAACAGGATACACTAAGCTCAGTATAAACACAACTCTAGTAAATCTAGACCAATTTTAACCCCATGCTTCCCTAGGTATCTCCGCAAAGCGGGCAAATCATTAATGCACAAGTATAACCAATAAAGAAGGATTTATTATTAGGGTTTATTTTGCCCTTGACAAACAACCCAAATTTATCTGACCAACAACAACTCCACTGCTTTGTTTTCTACTTTTCCATTTAAAGTATTTTTCTACTTTTCTGGAAAATATGGGGATTAACCTCTAACTCTTCCCTATATTCCTTAGGAAATTCTATCCATAACCTAAAACTTCAGTTAAAAGCTAAACAGAGTCACCTGCTTGCAGGTTTTTTAGTAGCAGTCTAAAGCTTGATTTAAGGAGTTTCATGGCCTTCTCAAATCTAGATAAAGCAGTAAGCTCTCACTTAAAGTAAGATCAACAGAATAAGCATGATACAAGAAGTAGTCCATACAGATTAAAACACACAAGGGTAATCCACTCAAGGGAGATGGGAGGGACACAGGACAAGAACAAAGCAATCATTCAGTAGACAGGCAGAAGTACAGCAAAAAGTATGAAGCAGAAACTAGTCTGGGAAGGCTAGTGATCTGGAAAAGGTCCATAAACCTCCCAGTGTATTTCTTTAAACTATGTACGGTGGCATGACTTCTGTTATTCCGACTTTTATAAGGAGGAAAAGGAATGGCCTGTAGCAAAGGTAGAAGAGGTTGAAAGCAGGCAAGAAGAAAGGTCTTAACTCTTGGCCAGAAGGCTGAAAACTTATGGGAAAGAGACTTACACAAGAAATAAACCCAAGGAAAGGCAGGTGCTCAGGTAACTAAGGCACACAGAGAGAAGGCCAAAAATTATCTGCTTATAATTAACATCCAAGAGATAGATAAGTTAGTGAAGGATTGACTTCAAAGTTGAAGACCAAAGGTGGGAAACATGAAGGCACACAGGTCTACTACTTATTCTCAAAGAGTCACTGAGACACTGGCAAGGATAAGTTTCAGAAAAGGGACTGAAAATAGAGTTCAAAGTGACAACAGCTGCTAGCATACAGTAGACAAAGAACAACAGTTGAGAGTAGAAACAATGAAAGCAGTAACACAAATTCATGCAGGGTCCACTTCTATCTCTGCATTTGTTTCAGAGGCATAGGAAAGTTTGTTTCACAGAAAAAAAGCCCCAAAGAATAAAGGGCACAATACACTTTTACAACTGCATTTAAGTGATTAAAATGGAAGTTGGCTGTTTTATTAACACTCAAGCATTGTACACTCATTATGTAGGAAGACAGATCAAAGTCAACTTCCCTGACTTCAGAAAAGACAGGTTCCTAATTCAAATACCTCCTTTGAAGCTGATCTCAATGACTTATTCCCCAAGTCTGTAACTTGGTGTCATTCAATTAACAGTTATCTGTGAAGAAGTTGCTCTTCCTGAGGTCGGAGTTAAATATTAAGAAAACTCTGGGGTTTTCTACCTTCTCAAACATCATTTTATTTGTGCATGCTATTTAGAATTATCCAAATAGTCAATAAAGAACATTTTCTCAAACCAGCCCTTACAATATGTTTAACTTAAAAAAAAAAGAATCAATTAACCACATCTAAACAAGAGCAGTCTAATCTTCCTCATCTGATAATTAACATACCATGACAACCACATCCACCTCAGGTGTTCCATCTTCTTTTATGCCAAACTCCTGGTTTTGAACGCAAAGCTGTAAATTAAAAGATACATAATGCATAACATTGGCCTCTTTTTCCCTTCAGTTTAACAAAACCAAGTATCAGTCAAGGAGATTCCAGGTTTCAAGTGAAAATGGATTGTTATGGGAAAACAGCAGGGAAGGGCTTTTTTCCTAATTTCACAGTAGGGTAAAACATGCAAGGGGCTCAAGTTCCCCTTACACAGAAACAAGGGGGGAAAACTTAGTATCAGAAGAAACTTTTAGAGGTCAGAAGAAATAGACTTTTAAAAATGTGATTCAAAGTCCATGCCCAAGCTGTACGTTTAGTATACATTATATAACCCTCTTTAAGAAATGCTGAGGGTAAGCGCACTCCAACAGACGAATATGAACCCTGTACCCATAAACAAAGTAAAATTTCCCCAGTCTTTACTATTGCCTAGAACCACGCCCAAGCACAGCATTTTCAAAATCCTGCCTGTAGGTTAAGGTGCAAATGCCTCTGTTCTGAACAATTAGACAGATAGCAAAAGGAAGCATGTGTTTAGTCAGTGCTGGGCTCTTGTGACACAGATCAGCAGAGAACTTGGAAAAACCACTGTCTCAATTTTAGAAGCAGCACTGCTGTTTAATGAGGGAGAACACAATTTCAGATGCCCAACATGAAACTGGCAACTGTTGAACATAATACTAACACTTGAGCTAAAATTTTCCATCAAATGATCAATATAACACCAAGTCCGAGCTGGAGATCAGTTACACATGGATAAATCTGAAATTCAGCTGGCAAACTTGGATGAGGTTTCAGAATAATGCCGATCTTGCTGCATCCCAGATATTCTCTTCAAGAAGAGCCAGCCATTAGTAAAACTGCCTTTGGTTTTGGGGTTTTTTTTACTGGGCTTTTTTTTTGACTCACTTCTACTTGTAAAAACTTTCTTTCTAGAACAGATGAAGATCTGAATGGTAGTACTAGCTAAACCGTACCACGTTAATAAATTATAAACATCTATGATATTAAGCTACACTTTAGTTCATCTATTTCAGTAGAAAAATTACTTAATTTTAAGCAACTGCTTCCCAAATTGGAAATAAAACACAATGAAGTGACTTTTGTAGGAACCAGCTTCATCTTCTCAGCACAGGTAGCTGACAGTGGCTACCTATCAGTTTGCAATTTACATCTCTGTTAGGAAGTGTTTTTAAGATGCTACAGCACAGAAGGGATTACTGAAGCCATCGCTGCACAGCTGATGGAACTACCAAGTGTTTCCCAGGAAGATCCCCATGTACCTGGAGCTCCAACTGGTACTCAGTGAACCAGTTCGAATGCATCAAGCTCCCCTGCAAAATCACTGCCTGGGAACTTCAGCACTTGCTGGGTAGCTTGTGGCTTTTCAAGTTTGGGAGATTGGAAGTTCTCTCATTCAGAACACATGGCACTGACACCCTGAGCTGGGGAGGCAGCAATACAGTGCCAGAAGACAAAAAGGAGATGGAGGAGATGCTGTATAACATACCATCTAACACAGGAAAATTGATTGCTTTCTCACCCCGGCACTACACGCGCTAAGAAACAAAACACCTATCTAAGCACTGCTTCCAGCAACAAAACATAACAGTCCCATCCTTGCCTTCATCTTCTGTCTCTTTTGATTTGGGTAATTTCTCAGGGGCATGATCACAAAAAAGAAGGAAGAAAGGCTCACAAGGAATGAATGGGAAGTGCAGTAAGAACTGACAATCCACAGCATGAGGAACGAAAACATACTTTTTTGTTCATATTACTATAAAAATTACACTGTATATTTCACAGAAAAAAAAAAATACTAACTTCTGCCCATAATCATAACTCCCATTCATTCCACATTTACCACTCTGCTGAAAATAGGAACACTACTTTTGTTCTGTATAAGCCTGCCACAGTTCCGTAATATTACTAGAAACTCTCCCACAAGCCGTAACATACCCAGAACAGGAGGCAGCCAATATTACTAGAAACTCTCCCACAAGCCGTAACACCCCAAAAAGGGGGGCCAGCCATAAGCATACATGTCAGAGGCTGGAGAAGCTGGCTGACCCATTTTCAGCTCTGGAGAAACTAAGCTCAGGGTACCGACAACCATAGTGTTTGCAGCAGCACGTTGTTCCTATGGGGAAAAAAATTGTACCCGTAATTTCAAGCAAGAATGACAGCACACTGAAGCAGATTTATCTCCCTCTCCCTTTTCACATGTCAGACAACTTTCTGATAAAGTTCTGTGCTGACCCAGACTGAAATGTAGAATCCTCCTTTACTGATCAAAAAAAAAAAAAAAAAAAAAAAAGTGGTGTGTGAAAGAAAACAGAGATAACATCACACATCGATCACCTGTAACAGAAGAATAGGGATGGCAGATTTTACTTCATACTAGAACTATTAAAGCTCATATGGTGGTAAAGAATACAAATTGCAAAACTTCTCAAATTTGGGGGGGGTGGGGTGGGAATCACAAATAGTGAAAGACATTCAGCACTATTTTGGAGACCTTTAGTTCTCAAGTGCAGTTCTGCCAGCTTTCCTGTTTTTTCTTCTCTGCCCTTCTGGTCTTTACCTTAAACTAGCTGCTTCCTCCCTCCTGGTTTCCAGAACATTTTAGGACTGTCCACTGTCAGAACAAAAGCTAGACCCTGCATTTCTACGCCCCTCCATGACCGCAGCCAGTACCAGCTATAGCCAGACTGGAGAAGACTAGTGTCCAGATTGCCAAGAGTACTCGGTAACGCATCAGTTAACGGCTCCACTTGTGCATTTGTGATGATGCAGAAAGTACAAGCACTGAGCAGTACTGACACCCCTATAGAGAAGGCACAGACTGGATCCAGGCTGTGAACCATGGGTGGAACTTTCCTACTCTACCCCAGGAGCCACTCATTTCAGCACAGCCCATGCCTGCAGGGAGGAGTGAAGAGAGGGATAGTCTTCCTCAGCTCTTGCAATTTTCACAGTGACATCATCTGTCCTGAGTATGACCTTTCAGAAAATTCAGCTGTCAAAAAATTTTAAAGCATGTCTCTTTAGCATGTTGAAAATTGAAATTTATTTCAAGGGAAGCACACCTTGCTATCCAAACATTTGATACTCTTCATGAGATTAACAGATAATGCATTTCCAAAGCAGAAATAAGAGTTCTCAAGGAAACTTACTTTTATTTATATTTATTAATGTAATCACATATTACTATAACATATATTACTATTAAAAAAATTAAATAAGCACGAAGCAGACCTCTAGGACAAAAATGTTTCAGCTCAAACAACTTGAGTTTAGGAAGTCAAAAGGTGACTCCAGAAAAGACACTTTTATTGGACACTTTTCTATGTAAACACAATGAAGAGTAAGAAAATAGCTTGTGTTCTTAAGGAATATTAGATTTACCCCAAGAACAACTATGAAATTCTTTACTACAGAAACTGAGGACTAAATCAGAAGTACATATGAATACCGGTATATGGAGGCAACATGTAAAATCCTGTTAATTTACCAAATACCATGACACACTAAAACACATACTAAAAGCCTATTACCTATCCAACAGAAAGGCAAAGACTTCATGTGAGCTTGACTAGCCCTTCTTCAAACATGAGTTCTTACTCTCACCTCTGATGATGCTGATTACCATTAAATATACCAGACAGCCAAGAAATAACTACTGCAGCTTCTGTATCTTTTTTGTTCCACTGTTTTGCTTAACCAGAGACCACACTCAGTAATTCTTTTTTTCCCCTCCAAGATTAGATTGCTTTTACAAAAATTGCAACAAGACACAAACTGCCCAACCCTATTCAGGCTATGAAACAGGAGTCTCACTGCTAAGCACAATGTTTATCAGCAAATCTTTTAAATTGCAAACATAGTTGTCTGTTTTGATACATAATTCTGACTAGAAGTCACTAAAGGATTTTTTTTTACCTCTGATTTTGTGAAATCAAAGTCTCCAACAATTCCTTGTTTTCGATTCACAGCAAAAACATTATTTCCATGCAGAGATCCATGTACTATATTAGCTCCATGCAATGTTTGTAGACCTTGGGCCACCCCTTTCATCACTTTTAATGCCTCCTAATGATTTAATTTGGGTGTTTATTACAAAGATAGATATGGAAAAAACAAAGCACAGTATCAAATAAGTTTCTATCCAGAACTAAGACTTTTTTTTTTTTTTTAAAAGGCTTATACACATTCAAAGTTCATGCCAATGTCATTTTATGAAGTATGGATTCATTCACAGTAAGATTACTATGACTTGCACAGCCAGGCAGAAAAAAAAAAAAAAAGACAAAAAACCCCCAAAACCCCACGCAGTCACCAATTAACATGAAAAAATATGGGGGGGGACATACCCAGAAATGATGCAACTTGGACCTTTACAAGTAGGTCCAAGTCAGCAAACAGAAGCTTCAAGTCATCAAACAGAACTAGAGAACAGATTGTATTGCTGCTAGCTACTGCTTCTTGGAGAACGGATGACTATCCAAACTGCCTATACACTATGTGGGGAGGAGAGAAAGGAAAAGGTAGAGGATGAAGGGGGGGGACGGGGAATTACACATGCAGGAGTTGTCTAAAACTGCAATACAGAAATGCCTGCCCCCGAACATCTAACATGTTCAACACCAGTACTTTTAAAATGTACTAGTAATACAGCTGAGGCATTAATTTCAATAAAAGAAAAAAAGTGTATCCAAGCAAAAATCTCTTTTAGAAAGTTATAAGCTACTGCCTGACCAGATGCTAAGAATGCCAGTCAAGCTATCCTGTGCAACTTTGTACAGTCACTGTCAGCCACCAAAGGAAGTGCACTGGTGAAATACCATCAGCACCATAAGATACAGCAAAACAGTAAGAGTTCAGTTCAAAAACATACAAAATAAAATGCTGATAGTCTAAGTAGTTATACTTACTTCTAAAGTTAAAGGTGTATCAGCCTGTAAAGCTCCCAGACTTGCTCCTGGATAGTACGGGACCATTAAATATACCAAAGGATCAGACTTCAACAACAACATAAAAGAAAAGGAGAAATAGATTGTTTCAAGTATCAAGAATATTGGGAAGTTCAACATGCACTAGATGTGTGATAAATCAATTCATTATGCTTACAATGTAGACAGTTTATCTAAACTCACAAAGGACATTTTTCTGATTCAATGCTCCAGCTTAAAATATGTTAAAACTTTAAGGTCCAATTGCAAGTCTTTCAGCTTAAACCAGAAATCAAGATCATCAATTTGAATCTTGCCTTGCAGAAAAGAAGGAACAACAGCTGTAATAATCCAGATTTCTCCTTCTGCTGATCATAAGCTCTGTGATACTTGGCAACTCTTTCTATCACTTTGGCTTCTGAGCTTACATCTACAGAGTATCCCTTAAAAACAAAAGAGACACCCAAGCTATTACTCCTAATGCCTGTAACATTAATTTAAAAAAAAAAGTTTAATGCCATAAAGAAAAGCATATTATTTGATGCCATCAAATACCTTCCTCTTCTATTTAACACAAAACTCAATTCCAACTGTCAGAGACTGTTCCTGTATTTTCTCATTAACTCTTAAGAAGTCTGTACCAACAAAACAGGGAGCATGTCTCTAATCTGAGATTTAAATAAACCAAGTCAAAAGCAAGAATAATATTTACAACTATGCCTATCATAATACTGCATTCCCTAGTTTCCCAATTGCTAGCAGATTGGTAGAGAACCAGAGCAAGGGAAAAGCAGTAGTTCCTGAAATTTCTCAGTGAAATCATCAGGAAGACAAACCAGCATCTGCAAAAAGAGGAGTAATGAACAGGAAAAAAGGTCCACCAGATACCAGAAAGAACAGACGGTAGAGGGGAAGCACTGTTCACATCTGTCCTCAAAAGAAGTGGGGGGGGACGGGGGGGTGAAATCAGTAAGCAACATGGAAACAATCCAGAAGGAAAACAATGCTTCATGTTCTACAGGCCATGACAAAAAAATCGGTCATCAGAAAAAGGCTACTAAACACAGGGATATGAAAAGAATGGCAGTTTGTTCAGAATCAGCATGTTAATAAGCCAAGGCCTCTCCTGCAGCACTAACTGAAAGCCAGTGCCAACGTTACCTTTAAAAGAACCTTCTGGCCCTGAATTTCTGAACACACTAAAGGTCGCTTCGTGCTCAGTTCCTTCATGGGCTCAGCATCCAAAAGGTCTCGCTCCAGGCTGCGTGTCAGAAGTCCACCAGAGTTCTGAAGCACATGCACAGGCAGATAGCCAGGGTAAGCACACAGCATTTAACAGCTGGTAAGATTCAGAGGCTTCGACTACCTCCCCTCTTCCTCAACCAACTTAGCAAAGTACAAAACCAGTTGGGACACGTTAAAAAGTTATAACATCTGCTACCAAGAGGCTGGCCATGATGAGGCAGCTAATGAAGTGCATTCCTTGAACACCCCCCAGAAGAGGGGAAGAAGGAGAAAGACCACAACAAACAATGGTCAGGGTATATGTCCCCCAAATGGACAGACTGTGCAGAGCATTATTGGTGCAGAGCCTTGATAGTGCGCGACACAATAACTGACAGTGCATTCAGACACAATCTCAGCTTACCATATAGTTTAGAATTCCTGCTTCTGGATAAAGAAGTGGTAACTCAGGAAACCATTTCTGTGTCAAATACATAAGCTTCTCCTAAATGAAGGAAACAAGGCCCACAGCTTCAGCTCACTAGTTTCTGACATGTATAAATACATACTGACATTTGCAATGTATACCCAGGACATTCAAATGTGCATCAACCATGACTGTACCTCCTTCAACAACACCATCCAAAGTAACACTGCCATATGTTTTGTTTTTTTAAAAAAAGCAACCACCAAAAAACCAAAACCAACACACACAACCACACACAACATGAATACAACAGTTCAATATGGACAGATTTTTGAAAGCTCTGAGGGTGTGTAGGGTTAAGGCCCCAAGCAGCTCATGCACTATCACGGAAAATATTTCATCTTTTCTACAGGAGGCTTTAGTAGGCCTAAACAAAGGAAAACAACTTCACTAGCGGTTAAGTGGAGGAAGACAGAAATCAAGTAGTAACACGGACCAGGCCAGCATCTCATGCATCTCCAGACCCCACACAGCTGTAATGCTGCAAGGTTTGCCTTCTTGCAAGAAATACAGTCTGTCTTCAGCAACTGAGTTTACACTTTCACCTGCAGCTCTTCTGGGTTGAAAACTACAGCTCACTTTTTTTTCTTACCTCACCCCCCTTATGGAGGGAGGAAGGAGGGAAGGTCTGAAGAAACTATGTTCAAATAGAGATAAAATTCAGCAGCTTCCATGCCTTCTCCCATCAGTTTCACCAAAAAAGGGCCATCTTAACATTCAACACTATGAAAATCACATCTTTGTTTTACCCAGAGCACACATTAAAGCAACTGAAATGCAGACATGCCTCATACAGGTTTGTTTTAGTTGCCTAAGTAGTTTAATACTTACATATTCTTCTTGTTCCTTGGATATTTCCTGAAGAACCCTATTTCGCAGATCAGCAATTTCCTCTTTTATTCCTGCCATTTCAAACTCACTGTAATCATCAGACTGCATTAGGAATAACAAAGTTAGTGTGTAATTCTCTTTCTGCTATTACACCAAACAACGGTAACCTACTATATCAGGGTTAAAAAACAGCTTCCACATCACAGTTCTGGAGTAGAACGTATTCTCAAATGCGTATTTTACTCAGTCTCCTTCCTGGAAACCCAAGAGAATCTCTTAAAACATAATCACCAAGAAAGGCGTTCCCTTTATTTACGTGACAGACCACATGTTCTAGCCCTTTGCCTACCTGTCTCCTAAGTCAAAAAGCATTTGTTTTTTTTAATTAGCTGATCACATATAATCCTAACAGCAACATCATTCATCTACCAGCAACGCCAGGTTACATAATTCATTCACTTCTTTCTCCCATAAGCAGGCATTTCCCTCGTGTCACCTCATTATTCAAGAATCCTTTTCCCAATGGGTTTCATTAGTGTCTCTCATTTTAAATCCCTCTTGGAAGCTTATTGACCCTTTACAATGCTTACAGAGAGACACATGCAGGTTCTTTTTTTCCTTAAGCATCACCAGAATAATTAATGCACGATCAAACAAACAGCACTGAACGTGGATTAATATTTACATTCTTTGGACTTCTCTGAGGGGTAGTGGGGAACCCTGAAAACTAGAACAGACATCGACTTCTGTCACCAAAGGGGAGGTACACGCATTATTAACAAAGTAAAAACTTAAAAGTAATCACACAACCAGCGTAGTAAAGAAAGAGGGACAAAACTGTTCATGCTGTGAACAGCAACCGTCAGCAGAGGGACTTAGTTAAAAGCACGGTGCCAAGGCTGGGGACTGAAACAGAAAAATGGCTATGTACCAACTTTTTTTTCTTTTTCTTAAGCCATTCAGGTTTGGTCTCAGGGGCCTGTAAAACTTCCACAGTTAAAGGCAAAATTCAGGTCAGAAAGCACAAACTGTTCTACATAGTTACCACTTATTTGGAATAGACAAAATTAATGTTTCTAAACCAATTTAAAAAACAACAGACAAAAACACCAACACTGTAACATTTTCGTACTTCCTCAAAGTTGTTCTTTTCAACCAGCTTCCACCTTAACTGGGCCTTTAAGCTTTTCAGAGTTTTCTTAACTGATACTAAGTTGTTAATATCAGGTCTTCTATTCAGCCATTCCTCAGCCTGTTTTTTGAACTAGGACAAAAAGAAAAAAAAAAACCACCAGAAAGCGTTCAAGCATTCTATTTTAACATGCTTTAGTCCAATGCATTAGAGAAACTTTTTAAAAGAAGTATCTTTGTATTTAACTGAAATGAAGCATTGACTGAGGTAATGCACAATTGCAATTTTCAAGCTTTAACCCAACCAATCTCTCAACACCCATATACTCCTAGAACTTAGAATTTCCTCATAAAAAGGTAAGAGGACATCTTTCAAAAAGAAATTATATCAGAAAGGGTTACTAGTATAGATCAGTGTGACGGAAATAAATAAGGCATAAACTCACCTCAACACTGGCCAAGTATCTGTTCTGTATGACAGTGATCATACTTTGCTCCTGACGAACATTATGTATAACTTGATTGTAAGCACTCATAATTATTCCCTTCTCTGCTTCATCATGCTCCTGGATTGAATTACACAGAGGGAGATTAAAGATTGAGAGTCGCTCTTCATTTATACACACCAACATTTAAGATGTAAAACCTTTACTGAGAAATTCCATTGTTAATAGAAAAAAATCATTTATCAGATTTTTCTCTCTCTTCTTTAAGAGAAGGGAACTTAGCTAGTCTAAGAGTTCATCCAATAGTTTCAATAGAGTAAAACTGATTAGCAGTCCTATGCAGAAGTCCAATTTCATGTTCCACATGCTATGAAAGATTTTTTTATAAGGATACCATGGTTATATACATATGACGCATTAAAGCACGCAACCATTCTTCTGAAAGAGTCACTGGTTCTATCACAGACAGCAGTCACAAGCAGACTAAACTACTGGTTTGTTGTTAGTACGATGCTACATTGCAGGAGAGGTTCAACTTTTCCTGACACGACTATTCTCTGGCACAGCAAGGACTCTCATTGCAGAGACAATGCAAGTACCTCAAAGAGTTAGCAAAAGAGAATGGAGGAAATGCTTACCAGAAAAGGTAAATGACTGGGAAAAAGGCTAACAAGCATAGAAAGAGATTACCAGTAAAGCAAGAACACTCATCCAATGCAAAATGAAAATGATTAAAAACTATTCATCTCTTAAGACTAGAAAAAGTAAATTTGTCCATACACATTCACCCAGAGAGGCAATCCCATTATTTTAAACAGAAACTTACTTTTCATCACCTGTATTTTCAACTCAAGCACCAAAACTCAGTGCAGCTCAAAGAAAGCTTCTCTGCACATAGAGAAGAACCAGTTTTCCCGGTATTTCTTAGTTAAGCCACAGCTAAGTTCCTGTAACCCAAAGCTATCCTCTGCCTGTTGCCAGGAAAACATATTCTCTTCTCTCTGGGGAGCAACCTGAATGGCTTTATCACATTTCCACAAAAAAAGATGCTGCCTTGCAGCAAATAAACTCATCTGATACATTAATAAAAGCTTTAAACTGAAATCAAAAGATATATAAAATATATATAAGTCATGACACAGTAGGCACAATTAGAACTTACATTTAAGTCAGTATCCAGTTCTTCACAAATAGCCAACTCAACCTTTTTGAGAATTTCATCCACATTGCCAACCACTTCCTCTAAATCTGAAGATGCTTCTGACATCAGGTCAAAACACTTTGGGGAAAAAAAAAAAAAAAAAAAAAATCAGCCTTGGAATTGAAAGTAAGAAGTTAGCAAGCAGACAGCAAAAACAAGCAAGAAATACAAAGAGCTATAGTAGTACCGGAAATCTAATCAGGATTTGTGTCAGATCACACCTTTAACTGCCTTACACTTGAGTGATATAACAATTTCTAGAAGTAACACAGTTAAGAAGTTCTGAAATTGATCAGGTTTGATTTTCCCAATCTCATTTTGATTTTTACCAAAAACGAAACAGTAGAAGAATCCCAATCCTTCCAGTTGAGTTTCATGTCAAAAATCAACATGTGCTGCCCACACAGCGATACACAAGATGCTTGATACAGCAGTTTCACTATCAAGTGGGCTTTCCACTCCTATATAGTACTACCTGAGATAAAGACACATCCTGGGATCTATTTCACAGTTTATCAAGTGTGAAATAAGGTTAAAGATTTCACCAGGAAACCTTAAGTGTTTTCACAGAAGTCAGAAATAACTTAGCTTGAAGGTAGAAGATAGAGAAGATGCCAGACAAAAATCAGTAAGATCAGCTTATAATTACACTGAATGTTGTTTTCAGCAACATTTGTTACTCATATCTGCAGAAGAAGAGCTATTACACTGACAACCAGAACTAAAATGAAAATATGGTCCTCTAACATGCAAGACTCACAGTCATAATAGAAACCTGCAAAGTCCACCTCATTCATTTACCTATCAAGTATGTGTATTCCATTAAAGATTGTGAAAATGTTTTATTGCCTTAACCTTAAAGGAACTAAAAATAACAGCTTTTAACAGTGCAAGTTCAAACAGTATGTTGCTCCCCAAAGCCTGGAGTTGCATATGGAAAGGAGCCATCCAGTCTCTGAAAATTTCCTTGTCTGTCGTTGACCCATTTCCTATTATAGATTCTGATTGATGCTACATGAGATTAATTTGGATTCAGAAAGAGAGGAAGAAGAGTATCTACTTAAAATAAGGGGAGGGGAAACACTTCAAAGAAGCATTTGCTCTACACGATTACACTTTTTTAAAAAAAGGAGCTAGAAGTTAAATTGTAACAGAGTAATTGCATATCAAAAGCTGAAATTATTAAGATGGATAAGTGAAAATTTCTTCCTTGGTCTACCTACCACTGCTTTACCAACCCATGCCAAGAGTCTGTATATTTCCTGTGTCTCTGAACTGTTTGTGAAAAAGTTCAGATTTGAAACAGGTAAATCACTACACTAACAAACTTTAGTCACTTTCATACATGCCAAATTGCACTCAGCAATCACAGAAACCCACCTGCAGCTTTGTTTGCACCCTCTAATAACCAACATGATTATAAACATCTGCAAGTAATTATATTCATTAACATATTGCACATGTCATGCACCAAGTCTACACTGCTGCTGAAGAGCATTTATTGTCAGGTCAAGAACACTGTTATTCATAACAGCATCTGGCCACAATAAATGCTCTGGGTACAATGAAATGCAAGGGCAGAAAACCTATTCACTATGAAAGGGCATGACCCTTGTGGTTTATGTACAACTTACATGGGCAGGAAGGTTATGCTGACACAAACAGAGAACATTTACACCTAAGTGCAACAAGGAGATCAAGGAAGCTGGGCCTGCAGGAATGGAGGGAGAGCAGCTTGCAGTCTTCCCAGGAAGATGAAGAGTCCCAAACTGAGCAAGAATATAGATACTAAGCACAGAGACAGGAAAGCCACAAAGTTACCTCCCTACTTTGCACTTTCTTTACGAGCAGAACTCAATGGATGGTAACACACTTCCACCATCCATCTCCTTTTAAGACAAATAGCATGCACTTGTTAAAGGAGCAGCTGCTGCCCGAGCATTCACACACCATTCAGGGAGTCGCACACACACCACCGGAGACTTTAACTGCTAGGACCAGAGTCCCTTTGCAGCAGGCAGCTCCACTGAGCTGATGGGTGCCCCTTTTCAACTCCCCACACACTCACTCACTCTCAGGCACGTTCTCTCCCCTCAGGCTCAACCCTAGGTTTCCCTGAAGCAGAGTCTTCGACATGACATACGCCAGGAGGATTTATTGAGTGGTACAGCAGTAAATGACAGCTTGAGTTGGATACCTCCAGAGAGGGACCCTGAACAAAAGAAACCCCTGGGCAATTATACCCTTACAATTTAAGTTCTCCTCCCCTCATGTGACGGTTCAGTCCAGTAGCAATATTTGGGTCTGGGGTCTTCCTGTTCTTTATGGGATCCTTTCTCTGTCTCCAGGCGAGACATTCCTTCTCTTATCTTAATGGATGCAACTTCTGCTAATGGTTGTGGCTACCTTATCTTTCTGGTTTGCACTGGTTTCAGGGCCTTCTTTCATGTAGCCAAGTAGGAGTTCAGCATACAGTCAGCATATCTAGGTGAAAGCTCACAGTTGGCAGCCCAAGGCTTTAACAGGCCTTGCTACTAACACTATGTATTAGATTCTGTTTGAGCTAGGTAGTGCCTTCTGCAACACACTCAACTTCAGTGCTCAAACCTCCTACAGCTCAGACTGAGACACAGCTTCGGAATGGTATTCCAGAAAATATTGCAGAACATGCAAATGGAAGTGGACAATTTATTTGCATAAATTCTCCACATTCATCATTTCAATGAGAAAAAAAAAAAATTCTATTATATAGTTGTCTGCAACCTGTACCTAGATCATGTCAAGTCAGACTGGCCGCTTCTTTGCAGTGATCTTTCATGACCTCTTTCAGCAGCATTTATGAACTACAACCTTTTAAAATCTGAAGTCTTTCTATTCAAAGGCCACTGGAAAGGACTAATTGAAGCATTTCAGTCACACAATGAACAGATAGAGCACACCCATATAAAAGCTATACTTGCATAAAAGTACTGATCTTTATACAAAAGATGTCCTTTCCTAAGAAAGCATAAACTCTGGCTCACCGCAAAGGTACACTAAGAATAAAGGTAAATTAGCAATCTGCTCCTCAAGGCATTACCTTTTCCTCCATATTGAGGCACTGTTGTTTAGTGCCACTGCTCATATGCACGATCTCCCTGCCATAGGTAGCTGTCCCTGCCAATGCAGACTCCTCACAAGCTTGGTTAGACAGTGTCATACTACATATTTTTCACCAACAGGAAAGATTGACTGTTCACCTTACCTTTAAGATACCGCTGAACCAGTCAGACAGAATTTGCAGAGCTGTGTCTGTATCATTTCTGACGCAAATTAATTTCTTCATTTTAACACCTTTCCACTTAAAGAACTGTTGAAATACCTCCTCAGAGTTATCTACTTCAGAACCTTGACCATACACCATCTCCAGAGAAGCAGACAGTTCCTGTGCATTAAGTGAATCAAAGAAAAACAGGTTTGCAAACCAGAAGCATTTTGTGACAGTACACTATCTAGAACAATCAAGACATTTAACACAGAAAAAGTTAGCACCATCTGCCGGTATAAAATTATTTCTACTATAAAGGCCTCTTTCTATATCCAGTGAAGTACCTTTTATATTCCACTTTCCTCTCAGATCTATTGACAGTATGTCTACGAGAAAATGCAATGCAGAAAAAGATCTCACACAGAGATCAGAGTCTGATTTTCACCTTCAAAACACAGAAGGAAAAAGACACCACAAAAATCTTAACAGGTCATAAGAAATGATTTGTAGTCTAGTTTCTTCTTCCCTATGGATTGAACTTTAAAGTCACACTCATCAGGATAAAGAGCAAAATGGGGTTCAATTTATAATGCTCCTCATAGTACTGCTCAAATTCAGAAACCGAAGTGAACTTGTACTCAGAAACAAGGTGAACAGCCAGACACCCAAGGAATGCTTCTGGACTGATCCCTCCCTTCAAAAGTCACTAGTCAAATCTCTACTGATGCACCTTCATAGTCACACTGATTCCTAGATGGAAAAGCAATTACCTACGTGTCTGACACCTGAAGGCCCTCCGAAATGAGTTTTACAGTCTGGGAACTTCTATTTCCATCTAAAAGCCAAGTATTCTGCAAGTATATGAAGCACAGGGTCCACCTCCCTTTGACTTGTATTGGAAAACCAACTGAAGTGCCACACATAAGGGAAAGGCATCGAGGCTAAAGCTCAGGGCAAACAGAAATCACTTTCAAACAAAGGGCAGTCTGTCAAACGACCTGAAGAACAAGCAGGGTCAGGGAGGAACGTATCAGTCAATTACCAGTGGAGACAACATCCTGACAGAAAACAGCCTTCCTTGCACCTGGGTGGAAAATCCCTTGCTGAAAAATGCTTGAGGGCACTGGTGTTTGCAGGCAATTTGCTGTAGTTCAAAAGAGAAAATTCTCCCTAAACAGTGGGATGTGACTGAATGAACCTGTGCTTTTGTAATAAACAGCATCCTTCAGCTTTCAAAATCCATCATTTTACTTATCCACGTCATTCCCAACAGACTAAAGAAACCCCAAGAAAGGTTGCTGACAGTTTGCTTATATATAGTGTTTCACTTTTTTTTCTTTTCTCAGATCCCAGAACATTTGAGTTAAATATCACAGACCTTCCCAAACACCACCTACGTCATGTAGATGAAGAAAAACACCTCCCTCTCTCCTCCTCTTGAGAGAGGTTTTCATCTTTGCATCCCCTTCAGACTCAACAGCCATGCTATGGAAAATGCATTATGACAGAACTTACAGTCACTTGTGAGAAGCCTTTCAGACACTTGAAACAGAGGTCACAGGAGCAACCAAATGTAACTTAAGAAAATAGACTGCCTGACACTACCACCGCAGGCCAGAACGTGGCAGTAATGAACTCTCCTTGCCGAGGACAGCAGGTACTGCAGAAGTGAGGAAGTGAGGTTGACCAGTTTTGTAGAACTACACATCATGATGCCACAACCAGGCCCCAGCTCTACAGATACAGTACACCAAAAGTTCAAACTGGGGCCAAAAGCGTAAGAATTTCCTCACATAACAACTAACTAACTACAGTGACCACAAAAAAAAAAAAAAACAAACCACAAAACCAAACAAAAAAACCCCCACCACCAAACACACAACCCAAAAAACCCAAAACAAACAAAAAACCATACCACCAAACAGTATTTTATAAAATTCTAAAACTAATTTCATAACAACAGTTACTATAATGAACAGCATTCATTTAGTAAAACAGATTGTTTAAAACAGCAATTTCCAACTGAGCCAGGTGACACGAACTTTGTACAAATATGCCTGTCTATAAGCAAATACAAAAAGTAGGTTTGTGCTGAATTTATGGAGGCTATTTAAATCACTCAAGTGCACAACAGATTTTTCTCACGTTCTTTTTTGAACAGCTGGATTTTAATACACCAGGATACACATGGATAGAAAATGGCACAGCAAGGGAGAAGCCAGGTTCAAATGGAACAGTCTGAAGGAGGGAGAAAAAAAATCAGCCCATTTAACAGCAGCCAAAAGTGGGTAATAGAACTGAGAAAAGTACTCAGTAACAGTTTCATATCCAATGTCACATCCTGTTTACAAAAATAGCAGCACTAGTTACACCAGAGGAGTATCTGCATGCATTCCATCAGACTGTCCTCAAGGAAAAAATCCGTTAAGTTGCATCCTATTTCTACCCATTTATTTTTCATACTATAAACACACTTCCCTAAAACATTAGCAACTTCACCAGCATATGAATACAGAAACAGGCTCCAGAAGGATAACAAGTTACCGCATGAATATGGCTCAGTGGCCTACGTGCACTTGTCCCAGTCGCTATCTCTAAGCGTGGTAACTCAAAGGAATTACCAGAACAAGCTACTACATGGGACAGCTAACAGCCATTCAGATCATACCCTAGCTTGCTTAGAGTAACTTAGGTGTATGCCGACACTCTCAGCCTTCCTCTTAACGAATGCAGTATTGCTGCTTGGAAAGCATGGAGCTCACCAACTGTTTTATTTCGGTCCTAGCCCGTTGGACCCACCTGTGACTGAAGTGGTTTGAATTTGTCTGTAGTTCAGGCCAACAACAGTTCTCACTGGAAGGTATAAAACAGAAGTCTGAAGAGATGTGCGATGCAGAAGAGAGGTTTGTAATACACAGCCTCAGTGAGAGGGGCATTAGCTTGCACGCTCCTTTTTTTCTGAGAGACACTGGAAAAATATTCATTTCTCTAGGACAGCACAGCATGACCTCTTCAGCTCTGTAAAATTGCAACCAAGGTTCTCACTGATATTTGGTAAAAACTTGTTTCTGTTTCCTTACTTGGGAAAACTATTTTGGTCTTGTTCAGGGCAATCCCACGCACATATACAGGCTGGACGGACAATGGATTGAGAGCAGCCTTGCGGAGAAGGACTTGGGGCTGCTGGTTGATGAGAAGCTCAACATGACCCCGCAATGTGTACTTGCAGCCCAGAAAGCCAACCATATCCTGGGCTGCATCAAAAGAAGCGTGGCCAGCAGGTCAAGGGAGGTGATTCTCTCCCTCTACTTCACTCTGGTGAGACCCCACCTGGAGCGCTGCATCCAGCTCTGGGGCCCCCATAATAAGAAGGACATGGACCTGTTGGAGCAGGTCCAGAGGAGGGCCTCAAAGGTGATCAGAGGACTGGAGCACCTCTCCTATGAAGACAGGCTGAGAGAGTTGGGATTGCTCAGCCTGGAGAAGATAAGGCTGCGAGGAGACCTTATAGCAGCCTTCCAGTACCTGAAGGGGGCCTACAAGAAAGCTGGAGAGGGACTTTTTACAAGGGCTTGTAGTGATAGGACAAGGGGTAATGTCTTTAAACTCAAAGAGGGTAGATTTAGATTCGACATAAGGAAGAAATTCTTCATTATAAGGGTGGTGAGGCACTGAAACAGGTTGCCTAGAGAAGCTGTGGATGCCCAGTCCCTGGAAGAAATGTTCAAGGCCAGGTTGGATGGAGCTTTGAGCAACCTGCTCTAGTGGAAGGTGTCCCTGCCCATGGCAGGGGGCTTGGAACTAGATGATCTTTAACGTCCTTTCCAACCCAAACCATTCTATGATTCTAGCTCCTAACACAAGAGAGGACCATCAACAGAGTTAAGCTAAAGGCCAAAATTCACTTAACACACCTAGCAGCATATCAGTACCCATTCAAATATTTTCAAAAAACCCCTTAAAATTTCACTGCAGTACAACTATCTAGAAGAGCTTAATGCCTACCACCTAGTGGATTAGCACAGCACAGCCTCTAAACACACACACACAAAAAAAAAAAAAAAGAAACAACCCACAAAACCAACCACAAAAGAGAAAAACCCCACACAACAATACACTACAACATTTTTCTGTCTGAAGAAGCAGGATCCTCACAGGGCCTCCAGTGACAGAAAGCCATGAAATGCTACCCATCCAATATCTTTTCTGATTAGACACCAATCTGCGTAAAAGACAGGAACTAAATAATAAGTGTATCAAAGCTGGTTTTGAATGGCATTGAAAAATAATTCCATTAGAAACTAAGTAATTCCATGAAAATTTGAATGCTTCAATTTATTAATGCTGCTCCAACCTTATAAAAACTTATGTGCAGCCTGTAATCTTGGTGATTTTTCATAAGAACCCAATCTCACACATGTGTGGCCGAATACATCTCTGGAATTCGTACAGCAAGCTGTTCAACTATTGCCAATCTTTTTCCCCTCTCCACACACACTTGCACAGTCAAAATAAAAGCAAGTAATATTTCTGAAGTTAACAAGTAGAAAAGAAATTCTAACAGCAAAGGCCAGAAACACCAGCTTGGTAATAGTGCTATTGGTAAAGTCCTCTTCAAAAGTTCCTACTGCCTCTACAGAGCCTATTTCCCTGTCTACGTCCCCACTTTCTGTTGTTGGTTTAGCTGGGAGGGAGAGAGACTCTTGGTATAAACATGTGCTTCTGTAGTGTTTAACTCTCATCTTTAAAAAAAAAAAAAAGAAAAGAAAAAAAAAGAAAGCTTTAAACATTTTACACTTTGCTACACTAGTCCAAACTACAGAGCCATCTTAACAGAAAGGGCTAGGAAAGTGTATAATCCAACCACAAAACCCATGGCCACAATTTACAGGATAACTACACTGACTTTGTAACTGTAGGTTCTCTCATTAACACCTGCCTTCTACTAAATATTCTGTGCTTTGTGAAGTCTTACCAGTCACCAAACACAGTACCATAAGAGAAAAGCTGTTGCTCAAATCCAGGATCTAGATTATAATTTGCCTCTAGAAACAAAAGATCTAGGAGACCAGGACCACAAGTAACACTGAGAACTACAGGTGTCAGATGTACAACTTAACTCAGATGTGTTATCTAAAGCTTCATCTGCTGCTGTCGAGGTCTCCAACTATAAAACGTTTAAGAAACACCCTCCACTGGTTCTCAGTGTTTCAGAATCAATAGTGACAAAAGCAACCTCCTTACCTGTAATGTTCTTGAGCGCTCAGGGAGGGGCAATTGATCCACTTCCAAAATTAATTCTTCCACTGCTGAATACAAGTTGTGCTGCACCTCATCTCTCTTGGTGATCAATTCATCTCTTTCATCCTATGCAGAAGGAAAAGCAAGGCAGCAGCTCACACCCAAACACCACATACACAATGTGGAAAGTGGTACAAAAAAGCAGTAATCCCTACAAAGTATGAATAGTACAATACATGCCTGACTAGGAATGAGTGAGAAAGCAAATTTTATTTTTAACCTCTACTCCTATGACATGACCGCCTTGCACAAATACAGTATCCTTTACAGTGTGAAAGTATGACTACATTATCAGACAACTAAAGAAACAGTTTTTGCATGACTGTTGATAACAGTGGGAGTCCTAATTGCCACTGGAAACTTAAAATGTCCTAGTTGTCCTGCAGGTTTTTATTGTATTACAGAAATTAGAATTTGGATTATCCACACTTCCATACGTGCCAAATTACATCCACAGAGTCAGACTGCAAAAGATTTCTTGCTGGAGAAGAATACTCTAGAATTGAAAAAAAAAAGCCTTTTACCAATTTTTTTCCTTGCCTTCTAGCAAGAAAGACAGGTGACCTGTAAACTCCCTGCTGACTAACTGCAGTAAGATCATTAAACTAAAGATAATTTTCTAGAAACAAAACGAAGTTTCCCTCGGATGACTGGGAGGATTAGTTCTGCTAATGGGAGAGGAACCCCACATTCATTTCAGATAAGGTACCTAACAGACTCACCAGAACCAAACCTTCCAAAATGGATGAAGCAAGTTACTCAGAAGCACGGCTGCAGTGTTCTTTTCACAGTGATTTAACCCAACATGCCCATAGAAGTATGAAAGTATATGTGAACATGGACGACCAAACTACAGCTTTACAGACCTTCTACATCCATCTCCAAAAAAAAAAAAAGGTAAGTAAAATGACTCAAGTAGCTATACCACACTGTTCCAACACACATTCCCTCCAAAAGAACCATCTTTGTTATTTCCATACACACCATGCCCAGTACTACCTCAGTTCACTGATTATCTTCTTAGGTTTCCAAGACATACGTTACATAAATACCTTAAGAACAAATGCTCCAGTCGCCTATCTTCATTTTTGGGACAGTATCCAGGAGAGACCCAGTTAAACCAGCATAAACCAACTAAGAAAGCATAGACAATGAAAACTGAAATAATGCCATTTACTCTGCACTCAAACTTTATTGGGTTTAGTCACGCCTGTGATATTTGTTTAAGATGCATTAGGTTTCCTCCAAAGCAAGACAAGATGTTCACTCCCAAGAGCTTACAAACAAGTGAGGCTTGTGACAGTGAGAGAGGGCATCAGCACTCCAGGGAGGTCAAAGGAAGAGCACGTTGCTTAGGCAACTGAATAGCAAGATTAAACTTAGTGAGACCAATTTTGACAGCTAGGTTGACAGATTAAGCAAGCAGAGTTAAACAGTCTGCTATAGTTTAATAGCCAGCTATTTCATCCATCTGTTTGGGTTCACTGGGCTTCCTGAACACTGGATTTACATGTACCTCATTTTAACTGAGCAAGTGACTCAACATACTTGGCTGCACTATCAAAAATATCTGTTAGCCTATCTACAGTCAGTATAATTTAAGTAGGAATGACAGGCAGAATAACAAACACACCCTCTAACTGTGTGCATCCTGGACATTTCTTCTATTTGAAAATACAGTGTCCAAGGCTCTGTGGCGTGTTACAGTACATAAAATAGGTCTTTAAAAATCAAAATGATTCTCAGGCAAAAAAAAGTTAAGTCACTACACTGTGCATTAAAACAGGACAACCTTGGTGGCACTGTAGCTCTAACATGATGCAACCAAAACTCTTGTTTCGTACCCTTCGCCTACCAAAGTCTTCAAAATACTTAAGACAAATTCCACAAGAGCCTTGAGATGTCCTGCTTCCAGCTGCTACCAATTCATCTTGAAAACTAAATTAATTCCTCAGGGAGCTCTACAATTCCACACACATTCCCACTTGCATACCCTTTGCAGCGCTCAGGCACTCTGGGGGATACCTGACATCTAGCAGAACTCACATGTTCTTTATTTTTCCCCATTTAAAATACTGGCAACACTACCATGACAACTTCCCCTCTTCAGAGAGCAGAAACTATTTTTTTCCCCCCACAATGGCATGCTCTTGAAAAGTCATGAGATTTCATGCCACCATTCATTTACACCTTAGCTTAGAGGCAACCAGGAACAATGTCAGAATGGGAAGGGGGGACCAGGAGGGTGTTCCTGATTTCTGAAGGAGTTTTCAAGACATGTGTGAGGCCACACCTTGTCAACACAAAACAGAGGGCTACACAAACACATGTAGAGCTACCAGAAACAGCATTGTACTGTAAGCTCATTTCAGCAGTATTTCAAATATTTCGGCAGTGTAACGCATCATGTAGACATGACTTTATTGTTAGCCATTCACAACTGAAATGGGTGACAATGTCCAGACTGTCTAACATATTCCAACAAATTAGTCCATCAGAAAAACCTCAAGCACTCTTCAAGAATGAAACCTCTTTCCATGATGTTTCTCATGGAAGAATGCTGCTTGCTGGGGTTAGCAACTCAAAAAAAAAAAAACCACCACCAAAACCAAAAAACCAAAGAAACCAAAACCAACCCGCACACACTGCCACCTGAATGATGTCAACACAACCACCTCCTCTATTGAATAAACACTTTGAGACTCCTCAGTCACACCTGCATCTGTCCTAACTCTTGTCCACATTAAGAGTTTTCTTTCCCTCTATCCCCAGCCCAACTGAGGCAAAGCAAAACTGGACGAGGGGGGTGAAAAAAAGTTCTAAGATGGCTTTGCTCTACTTTTCTGCTGTTGTTCAACAAGGTTTACAGACCCGTTTGAGCTCAGCCATCCCGTGTAATCTCCAGAAAATTGCAACTGCTACTATTTCACATGGGATGAGGAATTCACCCAAGGAAAGCTTGTGCAAGTGAATTCCTAAGCATCCCCAGCTCCTGGGTACCTCACAGCCTAGCTATTGCTCCCCTATATAAGATGCAACACTAAAAGGTCATCTGCTTATTAAGGCTTATCTTACTGTTGTCAAGTCTAAACATTTGACTGTCTTTTGTTTTCTAACAACTCTTTCTTTTCACCTACAGCCATCAAGCGTATGCCATGCCAATAGATATTCTAATACTTTTCCCTGCACAGGCAACAACAGAACTTACCTGGGTTCTCCTCATGGCTCATTATTTTCTAGTCCATTTTGCGAGCTGTTGAATTCAGTGTAATACCGCAGTACTTCTTAAGCAAACACGTTTAAAATGTTTTAGGTTATACTTGAAAATAGTCACAACACATTTGCTGTCATTCTCCCAGACGCAAAACTACCATCCCTTCCCTGCCTTACTTCAATGCCTGCCACAGACCAGGGAACCTTCCCGTTCCCAAAAGCAGCACTGCCGCACACGAGAAACGCAGTACATAACCATCCTTATCAACACAGCCACGTCCACGTATCCAGGCAGGCTTTTTCAGATCTGTGGTTGCAGAGAAGTTGCACTAGATGGCAGCCTTCCTCTATAGAAGTCCCTCTATAGTCCCTATACAAACGCATTGCATACCGCTCTCCCTACGCCTCCCCATACGAGGGAAGCATACACCAAGCAGTGGCACGCTGCTCTAACAAAAGATTTTAAAGACAGACACTGCAGCTGCACAGCTGAAGCGGTTTCTAACTATTACAGAACAGAAACCTTTTAGCTACCACGTCCTGATTTCCTTATACTTCTTTACAAAATCAAGGGCATCAAAAAGTCTAAGTTTAACACAAAAAATAACACTCCACAAATACATCAGTTGTGGCAAAGGTAGCAAAGCCTCCGATGTTATCTTGCAAAGGACAGATGTTTCCATGCTGTGCTCATGCTATCCAGCTACACTTATAAGACTAAAATACTCTGTCATTAGCTGTTAAATCTTGAGAAAAAAATAATTCCAACCTACCACATTTCTGCATAACCGAATCCTCTCCTGAGCCAAGTCATACTCTGTCCAAACCTTCTGTAATTTTTCCAAGGAACACGGAACAGTAAGACATCCTTCTGTAACTACTTCTATGGCTTGTGAGAGCTGCTCCCCAAAACAACTGTTCTTATTCGTGTGCCTAAGTTGTAAGGAGAAAAGAGCATTTTACCAGGATTTTTTCTTCCAGAACTTAAGCAGTTTAAAAATCAATGCTACTCAGACCCCCCGAACATACAAATTTTGAGATAGCATCTGCCATGTTAATAGCCTAGTTTCTTTCAAAAGGTAGCAGCAGCAATTTGTCTCATTCAGCTGTTAAACCTTTTTTTGAGGAAGGAAGAAGGACCAAGAATACATTCATTATACCTCAGTATTGATGAGGCTGTACATGGAAATTCTCTCCTGCTTTTAACTTCCCTTTTGTCCTATATCCTCCCTTGTGGGTTGTTTTTTTTTTTTAAACTCATCTTCCACAAACACATACACCAACATATATATTCCTTCTTAAAGGAGCTGGTGGTCATTTCTATGTCAAGCCTTCTTCCCCCTGCAGTTTTGTCCCTTCTTTTAAAACCAGAAGGGTAATTTGGGCTACCCAAAGACATACACCTCTCACAGCACTGCAGATACCCAAGGAACTCTTGACTACCTAGTTACTTTTAACAACTAGCTGCATTTACTAATTAGCATCTTCCTTGAAAATGGAATCGAAAGCTCTTCTTGCAACAGCTATGGTAAAGGAGCAGAAGTGAACCGAAGACATCTGATAAATATTGAGAAGTAGGCAATGCAAATTCCAGTGTCAGCTTCCAAAAAGCTCAGGTTTCAGCCTTGCTTTTGGGAAACACTCCCCTGTCTACAACATTACATTTTTCTTAGAAAATTAACAAAACAAAACTTTTGGGAAACCAAAATGCATGCATGACTTCGAGAGATAAACAGGGCAATGATAAATAGTATTATTTTAGGAAAAAAATACATACCTCATTTCTTTCAGTGCCTTCACCTTAGCAGCCAAACTTCTCATTTTCGTTCCAATGTAAGTATGTAGGGTTTCCTCAAAACTTTCAGCAGCTTTCCTGGATGCTTCCTTCTCTCTCTGAATTATTTATCATTTTTGGAGCAGTGTTTCAACAGAGGTAAAGACAGATCAACAGTCACAACAGTCAGCTAGGGTTACTAATACGCAGACCACAATTTAGACTTTTGAAAACTAGAGATAAACACACACGTGCGCGCACGCACACACACAGAGATGGCCCTCTTCAAAACACTAATAAAATGCCTAGAAAAACATACAAAACAATGAAAATTATTTTATTTTCTTTAATAGCTTGTTTAACATTAATGGTTCATTTCCTTCCTCTCATTTCAGTAGTGATGTGTTCAAATGTATTTCTTCAATTACTCCCCATTTGCTAGCAAGTCTTCAGACAACATGGATTTTTTTCTTTCCTTGCTGAAAAAATCCTACCCATTAGTTCAGGGAAATCAAGTCCAGGACCTCATTCAACTCCTCACTCTCATCACTATCACACCTCAAAACGGTGCAGCAAAACAAGAACTCTCACTGTATGTACAACCATCCTGACCTTCCTACAAGGAATATTCTTAAGACAAAATAAGGAGTATTCTTGACCCAAAAAAAGCCCACACCCCACATCAGGCTATATTCCTCAAGAGGCAACCTAAATTTGAAAGCTCTTGCTCTCATACCACAAAGATGCTTTTATAAACGCCACTTCAGGTAATGAAACACAGTCTTTAAAAGCTGTTAGCCTTTCAGACTCACTACATATTATATTAAAAAACCAAAACCACCAGCAAACAAAAAAACAAACATAGAAGGATTTAAATCATTTTGTGTTTGCAGATGACCATCCAAAGTCTCGTGACTGCAGGGTGTTTTTTAAATACCCCTCAAAGCCACCACCACACATGGCCCTTCTAGAACAAATCACTGCCTACCACAGTGTTTTTAGCAGGAAGCAAATATTTTTTTACTTAAAATAATATAGACAACCTTTTCTCTTAAAGCAGTTTACTTGCATTCAACACAAAAAAGTAATTAAAATTTGTAGAAGACAGCTTAAAAAAAAAAAAATCAAGACTATAGACAGAAATGCTTCTAAGAATTCCCTGCATTCAAGTGTTTCTTCTCAGCTGCAGACACACATTCTGTTGCTTGTTAATTTAGTTTGCACAGAAGTGCACAACCATCGTATCTTCAGTTGATGGAGAATCTGTGCAAAGACAGGTCAGTATATGTAGAAACACAGGTATTCTATGTAGAGGTAACTGAGTAGCAAAGCTCATTCTGAGTAGTTTTATTCTTCAAGAAAGAAAAAGGAAACAGCTGTGTGCAAGTTCAGGTTTGGGGCTGTCAAAGGGATTTATACAACGGCAGATTTTCCTTTCGTATCTTTAGAGATAAGAGTTTGCACAACATTTTTCTGAATTCATACAAACGTAACATCCTTTCACACAATCTCTTCTTACCACTGCTGTTTATCACACTTAAAACCATTCACAGCATTTTTAAGCCTATCAGCAACTATTACTAAGTACCGGGCTTCTCAGATAGTGCTAGGAACCTCCCCTGGAAAGAAACATAAGCATCTTTTCTATTAAGCAGCAGTTAAGGAAATGATCATTGTTATCCAGTTCTAAAACTCCACACCTGCTAAGATTCTGTGATGCTTAGGAATTTTCAGCCCAACACACAGAAAGCTGTTTTTCCCTCTAAGGGGGGGGGGGGAAGGCAAGAATTACATCCTTATACACAAAGCATGTTTCTAATCATGAAGTGCAAAAGTCCACGTTCAAACTGAACACCTACATCCAAACCAGCAGTTGCATCAAACGCCGTAACAAGCCAGTACACACACCAAGGGGAGGCTAGGGTCCAACCTGGACTGCAAAATGTGTGCTGACAGCACACTGACAGCATCTCCCTGCACCGGGGCAAGACAAGTCTTCACTCAATCAGTTTAATCATTCTGTATTCCAAACAACAGTGCACAGCTGAACTGCAGTACAATGAAACCATTAAGACAGAAGCATTGTTAGAAACACTCATAAGGAGGAGAGAAGCACCCTCTTTGCATTTCCACATACCTGAAGTTCACATTTCAGCTGC